AAATGGGACCTCTAGCCCTAGTTCTTTGAGGTATCTCCATATTGATTTCCACAGTGGTTGCACCAGTCTGCACTCCCACCAACAATGGAGAAGGGTTTTTTTCTCCCCACACCCCTGCCAGTATTTGTTATTGGTTGATTTCTTGATAGCAGCCATTCTTTGTGGGGTGAGGTGGCATCTCCACACTGATTTCCACAGTGGTTGCACCAGTCTACACTCCCACCAGCAGTGGAGCAGGGTTCCTCTTTCCCTACAGTCCCACCAGCATTTGTTATTGGTTGGTTTCTTGATAGCAGCCATTCTTTCTTTTTTCTTCTTCTCTCTCTTCTCCTCTCTCTCTCTCTTTCTCTCTCCTCTCTCTTTCTCTCTCCTCTCTCTCTCTCTCCCTCCTTCGGTACCAAGGATCGAACTCAGGACTTTGTGCTTGCCAGGCAGGCGCTGTGCAGCTCAGCTAAATCCCCAGCCCTCTTCCATTTCCTTTTTATGAGTTTTTGTTTTCCAGGTGGATCTTGAAGCTCCAGCACTCAAATAGGGCTGTTACATTTGAATGGGCCAGGTTCTTGTGTATGAGGAGGGAAGAACTGCCAAGCAGCTACATTTATTAAAGATCACAGGAAGTTTTGCTCAGGGCCAGACCCTGCTAACAAAGGTGCCAGAACAGCAAAATAGCATGTCACACAGGTCAAAGGTGGCAGCAGCAGCAACAGGAAAAAGGGGACAAAAAATGGGACAGATAACTCAGACTTTCAGAATTTAAAGTCCAGACAGAATAGCCTGTGTCGGAGGAGATGGCACAGCCATGTTCTGCTGAGGGCTGCGGTTTTTTGTGTCTAAGACTGCAGCTTGGAATTAGACAACGTATTTATTAACCAGATCATTGCCAGATCAGGCCTAACTCTAGGGTTCTGTATGTTATTTCACTTCCTTTGCTCATCAAAGGCCTTAAGAAACATGAAGAACAGAGACTAGAATAACTTTCTGGTAAAACCTTAATTTACATGCCACCATTCTTGCCTGCACTGAGTCCTTTTATTATAGACAGCTAAGTTATTTAAAAATATTATAGGTAGTAAGACAGGGATGAGCCCTCGAAGAAGTCAAGACAGAAGATAAGAACACATCACAACCGTGTTAGAGGCGCATCCTTTGAAGGTCAGGTTCCAGACAAAGAGAATTGACTACACCTACATACTTCCCCTAGGGTTGAACAGCAGTGAGATATTCTAACTAGGCATCAATCACTCTGAGTGGGAACCAAAACCTCCCCAGCCTATTCCTTCCGGGAAAATTCATGTTCATTCCATGTATGCCTAGTACACTTGCTTCTCCATTTGATCCCCATTTAATCAATATTACCTAAGTAACTATAGTTGTAATCTTATTGGTTGACTATAGTTTTGTCCCAGCTTATACCCACCTCCTCACCAGGGGAAGATCAGACCAGAAAGGAAACTGAGGCAGAACAGGCTCAACATTTCCTCTAGAGTATAGAAGAGAATTGGGCCAGTCTGTTTCAGTGAAACCTATCCTCCAAGTCTTAAGAATGGTTGCTGGCCTATTGCCTTTTAGCTTGCAAATGGAGTCCCACGATTTAATAATAAGCACGTATATTTTTAAAATATGAACTAGATTTCATTAAAAGAGATCCATTTTACATTTTCTAAATTTACCTTGCAGTTAGTATCAAGGTCCGCTAGGTGGTGCTCTAACATTACTTTTCCTTAGCGCTAAACCTAGCAAACCGCAGTCAAAGCAAGAAACAGGTGAAGTGAGTCTAAAGGTAGCATATACAAGCTGGAATATAAGACCCTGCTTGCAAAAGTAAAATGTCTTAGGCCGGGGATTTAGCTCAGTTGTTCCGCCGCCTGCCCCCGCAAGCACAAGGATCCCCGGTCCCAAAAAAAAAAAAAAAAAAGTAAAATGTCTCATCAAAGAAATATGATCTTTCCATGTTCTCAACTTAAATTTACCATCATTTTAATAAAAGACAATGCATAAAAGAAAAACAAGGCATAAAAATTCAAGGCATACAATTTTTGATTATCTAAGCAAGTCATAGTCCAGAATTCATAACACAAAAGCAGATTCTTACCTCCTTCCAATTGTCTCTTATCTTGGTAGGACGTCCAAGATGCTACAGGGATGACATAGGAGATGAAATAGGACCTCTAAATGATATAAGAGAAGTATTATAATTCTCAACCTGTTAGATGTCACTGTTAGATACACTGAGTTTATGTTTTCTAAAATCAAAAAATGAAGACTAGGAACCATGGAGGTTAAGAGTAGGAAATATTTATTGAGAGGATAGCTCCTGAGAGGCAGGAGGAGTCCCGAATGAGTAGCCGAGGATCTCACATTTCAAGGGAAGTTTTATAGAGCAAAAACCACGTGGGTACAACGTGGGTTAAAGCTATGATCAACTAATAAGGTTACAAAGATAGTCATTTAGATAACAGTGATCCAATGGGGGAACAAGTCATGTTACAAATGTGTGTGGAAAGAACAAGACTTTTTCTAGGGAATGGTGGGTCCAAAGGTCTTGGTCACCCACCAGGGTGACTGATGTCTATCGAGACTTTCTTAGGCCAGGTGTTACCACTTATCTTGTCCTTTGGGGAAGTGTGCAGGCCCAGTCATTTGGTCTTTATTTTGAGGCCTGTGCTCCAACAGATGCATCTCTGGACACAGTTGTAATGTGTTTTTATCTTTTGTGCTGACTCTGTCAAAGGCCCAGCACTATCTGACTGCCTAGAATATTTCTACCTAACTTAGCTGTCTATAATAAATCTACCAACTTTGTAGCAGGTTTGCTGACTTCTGTTATAGAAGAAGAATTTTCAGGACACATAAGTAAGAGACAGGAGAAGGGTTTCTTAGAGATTTAGGATGGACCTAAAAGTGGAGTACTGGTTCTCAGAAAAATGAGACACATTCCTGTTTGGAACTGGGAACATGTATATTTTTCTTAAGGGGGTGGAATGCCTAGGAAAAAGTAGCCTATTCTTCCTCCTCTGAAGGGATAGTTAGCCCATTCCTCAGGCATGGGTGATGTTTTTGTTTGTTTGTTTTTTGGTAAGTGATTCGAACATTTTCTGGATTCTCTCAACCTGATGCTTACTTTCTTAATTGGGCCAATTTATGGCCTTAGGTAATGTCAGCTGAGTCCTGGAGGTTGGAGTCCTCTTAAAAGTACAGTTTTTACTTAGGATTTGTCTCCTTTCCACCTACCTTGTATTTTTTCTATCCTACCTCAATGGGAGGCAAGAGATAAGAAGCAAGGAGGGAAAGATCATGAATGGTCTTATCCAGAGAGCAAGCAGTGAGCCCTCTGAGTGCTGTGGGAAAGCAACTTGCACTTGGCCGAGTGTGCAACAGGGGTGTTTGTGTAATCAGAAATGTTTTCAAATGCTCTCTTGGTCCTCGCTGGAAAGCATCCCGCAGAAAGGTTGTATAAAGCTCTCTGCACAGAAAACTCCCAAGCGTTATGTTCCCATCCCAGAGTGCTAAGCCAGCTGTTTACCTGACAGGTGTCAGGTTACCTCTAGATGTCAAAAAGCATATATCCCAATTTATTGTTCAATTAATGTGCTATTAATTATAATAAAAATGGGAAAAGGCATAGCTGACCTTATTATAAGCAAAGCAGGATTTGAATTTTCACACTAAATCCATCTTAGACAATAATGTCACTGGCCACCAACAATATCAAGCTAATAATCTAGGGGTCAACCTTATATCCTCATTTCCTTCTCTATACACATAGAATCCACCACCAAATTCTGCTGGATTTTCAAGTGAGGAAGGTGTTCATTACCTCTGCCCTGGTGTAAGTTATAACCCACGGCTATCCTGTGCTCTGAACTTCTGCAGGGCTCTTAACTGGCCTTTCTGCTCCCAATCCTTTGATCATAAAGCGATCCTTCAAAACCTGATTCTGACTATGTCACTCTCCCATGTAGGATCCATCCTTGTCTCCTCTTTTCTCTCTGGTATAAACTTACTACCTGCCTAGTGACCTCCTCTCTCTCCTCCATTTACGCTTTGCTCACCAGGCCAGGTCGCGTGACATTATTTTGTTTCCTTAAACATATTAAACTCCTCCCAGTCTCTGGAACTTTGGGATATCATACCTTCTGCCAGAAATACCCTCTCCTGATCATTGTGGCTAAAGTAACCTTTCTTCTATGAACTTACCAGAGTCTAATATTTTGTGAACCGGTAGTGGGTAGACTGTAAGATGGAGTTCATGATCCTCACCTGTGGTCTCCACGCTCTTCTGTGATTCCTTCCTCCTGAGCATGGGTAGTTCCCATGACTTGCTTTTAACTAATAGAAGATATAGAACACGTGACAGGATGCACCTGATTACGCGTGCATGACTGTATTACCTTAGAATGTAACATCCATCTTGCTAAGAGACTCTCTCCCTTTGAAGATGCCAACTACCACATTATGAACTGCCATATGGAGAACAATATACATGCAGTAAGGAACTGAGGATCTCAGTCCTGTAGCCAGCAAGGAACACTGCTGACAGCGACCATGTGAGCTTAGATGTGGATCCTTTCTTGGTCAAACCTTAAATGAACTGTGCCCTGGCAACACAGTGACCATGGTCTTGCAAAGGGTCGAGCCAAGTCATGCCTGGGCTCCTGATGGAGAGAAAACACGAGCTAATACGTGTATGTCCTTTTAAGCCAAAAGTTGGTGGTAAGTTGTTATAATTGTTATGTAGCAACCAATAACTAATACAGTTGTTAAATGAATTCAGCATTGCGCAGTAAACTTCAGGGGGGAGGCCAGGGACCTTTCTATTCATCATTGTTGAAGCTTCACAACCCAGCTGGGTAGATGGCTGGGTACAAAGCTAAGTAGGTAGCATAGATAGGTGATATCAGATACTTGCATGAAGGGAAGAAACATTTGGCAAACAGTAACTGTTAATACTCCCACAGTATCAGCAGCAATGGATTGTTCTCTAATGGAGATGAATTCAACTTAAGTGTTGAATGGCTGACTATTATAAAATGCAGAAGTTTCAGTACCAAATTAAAGCCTTTATGCCCCATTATAGCAAGTGCCATGGTATGTTTTTGTCTGCCGATTACAGTAAGACCTTGGTTTGTGAGCATAATTCATTGCAGAAACATGCTTGTAATCCAAAGCACTTGTATATAAATGTGAATTTCCCCATAAGAAATAATGGAAACTCAGATGATTCATTCCACAACCCCAAAATAGTCATATAGAAATGATTAGAATATTGTAATAAAGAAAAATAAAGAAATAATAAAGAAAATACAAAATATGAAGAAAACTAAATGAATCTGCAGTTACCTTTGAAAACTTTCACGGATGGCGTGAGGAAGACGAGAGGAGAGTTATTGTGTAGGACGACTTTCACTGTCACCTTTAGAATCACCGCTATCTCGTGAGTGGCTCAGGAATTTTTTTCCTTTCCTGCAGCTCTAACAAGGAACCTATCCAGTGATACTCACTTTTGCTTCCTTTTCAGGATGTCACGGAAATGTAACATGGCATTGTTGTTAAACAGATTCATGGCTTGCACTGCTATAGCCCTATTCGGGTGGTGCTTTTCTACAAAATTTTGCCGTTTCCCACATTTTACACATCTCCCTAATCTTATTTGAAGTGAGGGATTCCTCTGCCTTTTTCTCCTCCTCCTCTGCAGATGAGGTCTCCTCTACAACCTGTTGCTGTTGGGAGATGATGACCCACAATCTTATGGGGGGCAGAGGGAGGGGGGAGTGGAGAGAGGGGTAACGAGAACCATTGGCTCAGTTGTGATCACGTGACATTTGGCTTTACATCCTACTCGTACTGCAAGACACCATTCATTTATCAAGTTAAAATTTATTAGAAATGTTTGCCCATCTTTGTGGAACACTTGGCGAACAAGTACTTCCAACCCGAAGTTTCACTGTATTTCCTTTTCTTCTGTTATTCCTTTGGGGGCCTCATCTCTCTGCACTTCAGTGGGGCTGACCTATCCCCTCCCCTGGCTCCTAAATGGACACATGTCCCAGTCCTGACCCACAAGCATTGTCCATCCTCCTGGCCACTGTGATTCGTTCAGGGTTGCTCGTATGACCATAGTCTGGCCAATCAGAGCCAAACCCCTTACATTTACATGTACTATGGGCAAGGAGCCAGTTTCTTTCCAAGTTCAGAGTGCTAACTCGGCTGCTGGGACCCCTACCTGGCATGGGCCTGCCTGAAAAAAGCAGTTCACACTGAGAAAAGTAGGGAAGACCACCTAAGCCCTGGGTTTAGTAATCCCTAAAGATCTCCCTCATGGCTTTTTGAGTGAAACTAATCTCTCCCCGTCACCTCAACCTTTTTTAAAAGCAACTTTGGTGTTTCATACAAGTAATTTAAAAAAAGATTACCCAGGATCTGCCATGAAATCCACAGAGAAGGAAGTTATGTGCTGATTTCTATGATTCCTCAGGGGCCCCTGTGTTAAAGAATTGGTCTCTAATCGCTTCTCGGCCTTTTGGGTAAGATCAAGTGTCAAGAATTGGTCTCTAGCCTGGAGTCCCCTCGGAGGTGGTGAACTTTTAGAGTTGAAAGTAAGTTAGGCCATTGAGGTTGTGCCCTTAAAGGGGATACTGGGACCCTGGCCCCTTTCTCTCTTTTTGCTTCCAGGTTGCCACAAGGTGAACAGGCAGCCTGTACCACGTACTCCTGCCATGATGTGCTGGGCCACCAGAGGCCCAAATCAACATGGCTAAGTGACCATGGACTGAAACCTCTGAAACCATGAGCCAAATTAAACTTTCTCCTATTAGGTTGATTTATCTCAGGTACTTTGTCACCGTTATGGTTTAGATCTAGATAGACTCCAGAGTCTCATCTGACCATAGGCTTTCGTGAGGTGACTGGACTACGGGGACATTGTAGCTGACTTGTGGTTGGGAGATGGGGTCTGATAGAAGAGGTGGGTCACTGTGGGCATGACCTGGAGGGCTATGTTTCCTTTTCCAGTTCCTCCCTTGACTCTTTCCGCTTCCTGTAAGCCATGACACGAGCAGCTTCCCTCTGCCCACATCCTGCCACCATGTCCCCCAACCATGCAAGGGCTGAAACTTCTAAAATGCGAGCCAAAATAAACTTCTCCTCCTTTAAGCTGAGGGTGTTGGGTATTTTGTCCCAGCAAAGAGACAGTGACTAAGACAGTCCCAGTGATGGAAACCTGACACAGGAGGTCTGATGTTGGGGGTGGGGAGGACAAAGAGTACAGAGTAAGAAACCCACCTAACTAAATGTTTCCTAAGATACAGTGAATAAACCAATGAAGGAGAAATCATACAGGATGTTTTATTTGTTTTATAGTCCTTTACATTTTTTTTTTTTAAAAGCAATTGCTTAACAGGACAAGTTCTCCGAATCAGTACAAAAGTATCGAGTGCAAATACGTAAGAGATGAACAGCACTGAATAGCACTCAGCAGTAATAGTGGAAACGATGCCTTCAGACTTTCAGAAAGGCTCTTGGACACAAAATTAAATGAGGACTCTTCCAACTTTGGGAGGCCATTATTCCCAAATTGTGCTGTTCTTTCTGATAAATAGCAAATAAGGCAGATGTGCTGGTTTTGGTTTGGATTTTTTTCACCCCTTATTTCAAATGAGTGGAAAAGATAAACAGCTTCCCTCATTTCAAAACATAAAAGAAATTCTCAAAAACAAGCCACCGTTGCCTTGAGACCTGGGACACAAGTCCTGAGGCCGGCTCTGGAGCCCCAGGCTCTGCCAAGGTCAAGTCTGCATACCTGGGAGTGGGGGGCAAGAGGCCATGCTGGCCACTGAAGGATTTTACACACAGTTTGTGAAGAAGCTGCAGGACACAGCCAGGGAACGCTTGACCATCCAGGCCCTGTCTGAGTCCTGGTCCCACGGGGTGAGCATGACCCAGGAGCTTTCCTGAGAAGCCTGGAAACATCTCTGGTCCCATCCAGCCAGTCATTCCTGGTAGAGCCCCTCGAGGCCTGCAGACTTCATAGCCAGCTGACAGTCGACACTGGGGTTTTGCTTTGCCGGTGGTCTGTTTGGGGACAAGACGAAATGGTTAGTTCAAGGTCAATGCTGAGTGTGTACACAGCCGAGTAGGTCACATTCCTTGCTGCTTTGTTTTTGGCTGCGTCTTGCAACCACACCAGATTGGGGCTACATCCATTTTACCGATGAGGAACCTGAAGGCATGGCAGGTCAAAATGACTGGATGATGGGTAGGGTGATGGGCCCTTTCCTCTCTCCTGATTTCGATATTGTGTTTTCCCCAAATGTCTATATCTTTAGAACAATATAGCAAACAAGGAAGGGCAAGCAACAGCTCTATTTTACCAGTGGAAGAGAACTGATACGAGGGAAGTTAAGTAGCTTGTTCAACATCACACAGCCAAAAAAAACCCCAGAGACCTATCTTCTGATTCCAGTTAGTTTTCTAACACCTTCACTGGAAGTACCAAAGGTACAGGGTAAAAAAGGACAAACTGATCCGTACTTTTCAGTGCCTGGAACTGAATGTTTCAGAGGCCAGTGGGAAGGGTGGTAGCTCTGTCAGTATTAATAGGATCTGTAAGTCATCTCTGAATTTCAAATAGCCTTGCCATCGCTGACTGCGGGTGTCACACCAGAGCTCAACACCAACTCCCTGCCTCCTTCCACTGCAGAGTTTATGCTTCAGAAGAGAAGAAAGCTGAACACTCCCAGCTTAGAGTTGCCACCTGACAGAGTTCTGGCCAATGAAGAGAATGGGGTGAAGTCCCGGGAAAGATTCTACTTACTTGATAAAAAGGGTCAGACTCTATTGGTGAAACACATTTTTCTCCCTCCCTTCTTCTTGTCGTAAATGTACCTGGTGTAAATGTGCTATCTTGTGGCCATGAGGTAGTAAACCAATGGGCTAAGGAGGGCAGCACAGAAGGTAGAAGGTTCCGGGTGCCTGGATGATACCAAAGTGGCTGTATCAGTCCTTGGCTATCTACGCCTTTATATTATGCAATAAAAAGAAAACCCTATTGTTTAAGTTAGTATCTATTTAGGGTTTTTTTTTTCATTACTTGCCACATAAATTCCTACCTGGTAACAAAAAAATTAAGAAGCCTTTCTTCTTCATTTTGGGTTTTCTCATTCGTTTGTCTGGTCTTTTTGAGACAGGTTCTCACTATACAGGCGTGGTGGATTAACTAATGGTCAACTTGTAATGCCCAGCTGAACTGAATCAGAGTGGCCTGGGCATGGAGGATCCACCTGAGGATTGTTGTCAATAGCCATAAAAAGAGAACTGGAGGGGAAGATCGTGGGCTGTTGATTTTCTAGGAGAAGCTTGCTGCGGATGGTTTTCCTGATACGAACTTGGCTGTTCTCATTGGAGGAAGAGCTCGGGGCCTCGCTGTCACTGGGAATGGCTGCTGTTTTCATCAGGGGAGCTCTGATCTTCACTGTGAGCATCACTTCCTGGCTCTAATGTGGATCCCTCAGCCTGGTGGCAGAAATCCTTCATCTCACCAGCGTAGATTTTCTGGCTTCCAACACTGGCCTTTGGGCCTTCCAGGTGCAGATCCTCAGTACAGACTTGGATGAGACATTGCCGTGGGCTCTAGGCCACTGGCTGGACTCGTGGAGAACATTGCCTTGGACTCTAGGCCGTCAGCTGGACTTGTGCAGGACATTGCTGTGGGATCCAGGCTCTTGGCTGGATCCTTTGGGCCTCTAGTGTGTAGCTAATCTCTTGCAGTCCTCTGTATTTGACTCTTTGGGTAAATATCATAAAATAATCCTATAATTATGTGTCCTGTACTAAATTTATTCCCTTGCCAAAACCCTGACTACAACAGTAGTCCATGATGCCTTCCAACTCACAGTAATCTTCCTGCCTCAGCCTCCTGAGAGCTAGGATTATAGGCATGTACCACCACTCCCTACTGATTCCTTTTTTTTTTTTTTTTGAGACTCGGTATCACTATGCAGCCCAAGCTGGTCTCAAACTTGAAGTGATCCTCCTGCCTCAGCCTCTCGAGTGCTGGGATTACAGGTGTGCTCCACTACCTGGCCTAAAAAAATTTTTTTTTCTATCAGTGGGCAATACAAATGAATAGTTTTAAAATTTCTGCTCTAATTTCTTACTAATTATTGGATACATTGAACCCGCAAAAAACCCAGAAGCACTTTGGATGCCTCAATAATATTTAAGGGGGTGAAATGAATCCTGAGAACAAAAAGCTCGAGAATCTTTGCTCAAATGAAAATGAGTAAAAACCATGGGCCTGAACACCAGGGCTGGGCTGTGAAGTGGAATATAAGGAAATGAAGTACAACTCCCCAGTCAATCTCTTCATTGAGAAACAGCCACTCAGATTTTGCTACGGCCCGTGGTGTAATTTTAAAGAACTCACCTTTTAGAGCAGGGTTCACGGGCCGGGGGTGGATCTTGGCTCAGACACATCATCCTGAATAAGACAAATAGGCCAGCATTTTCTCATTTTATCTCCTTGAAGTCTGATAGTGATCAAGTCACTCCAGGGACACCAATTAAGCAATCCTGTGAGAACCACCTCTGAATGACTTATGTTACACCCACTTTAACATATAATAACAATAGGACAACATTTTGAAAAGATGTTCAAGGGCTATCTGTAGAAGAAAAAAACTCTCAAAAGTATTGGTATTTTTAGAGCAAGGGTTGGCAAACCATGGCCTGTGGGCCAAATCCAAACTAGCCCTGTTTTTGTAAATAAAGTTTTATTAGAACACAGCCTCCCGAGTTCATCTCCTTATTGTCTGCTCATGCTACAGCAGAAGATTTGAACAGCTGAGACAGGGACCATGTGGCCTGCAAAACTGAAAATATCTACCATCTGGCTTTCTGCAGAAATTGCCAAGAGTCATGGGCCAGGGATTTAGCTCAGTGGTTTCGCTGCCTGCTGCGCAAATGCAAGGACCCGAGTTCGATCCCCAGTACCAAAAAAAAAAAAAAAAGAAAGAAATTGCCGAGACTCACTTGGTATCTTGGTTATGAGGACTTTAGAATTAACTGACCTAGATGTAGGTCCTTTCTTGGCTACTCTCAACTTTGGGGCTTGATTCATGCTCCTGATGGCATAATGGGGCTAGCTGTGAGGGTTATGATATGAGGCTGGAAAGTGCTTAACAGAGACCCAGGGGCAAAGCAATGCTAATGGATGTCAGCCACCATTATCAAATGAGTAAGAGCTACAGTGGACTTCATGGGGACATAAGAGTCTAAAATCTATCCATGGGACAAAAATCGCATCTTTGAAAAATCCCTTAGGAGGGCAGCATACTTTAGACAAACACAGTATCTCCCACGATTTCAGCACAGCTGGTTTTCCTCTAGAATTTATCACTGATTTGAGCAGATCACAGTCAAGGCTGTGACCAGTACTCCTTGTCAACTTCATTGAATTAAGAAATGCCTAGCATGGCCAGGGATTTAGCTCAGTGGCACTGCACCTGCCTCACAAGCACAAGGTCCTGAGTTTGATCCCCGGTACAAGAAAGGAGAGGAGAGGGAGAGGAGGGGAGAGGAGGGGAGGGGAGGGGAGAGGAAAGACCTAGCAGATGAGTAGAACATGCTCCTGGGGGCGTCTGGGTGGGTCATGGAGACGTGGTCTAAGCATCTCTGTTCCGTCAGGCTTCTTTGCTATGATGTTCCTGTCTTGAAGCCAGCTGACTATGGACTGAATCCCCCCAAACCACAAACTAAACTCAACCTTTCTTCCTTAAGGTGTGAGTTCCAAGTATTCTGACCAGCAATGGGGAAAATTGACTAATAGAAAGTCCCAGGATGATGTTACTGGCATTCAAGAGCTGCACTATAGGAATGAAATCCACATGATCAAATATGAGACTCACTCTCAAGATAGATTTGGGCCCTGGAGTGATTTTGTCCTGCTCATCTCTTCTCTGGGGCAGTAGCTGTTTATTTCTGTCCGCATTCTCTGCCATCTAAGTGCGTGCCACCACTCCATGGAAGATTTGATGGATAGGGACATGAGCCCCCTGAGGCCCCAGAGCTATCTTTTTGGTTCTGAACTAAAGGCTGACAAAGATTATCACATTAAGGTGGATAATGATGAAAATGAGCACCAGTTGTCATTAAGAATGGTCAGTTTACAGGGCCGGTACAAAGGATGAATTGCACATTGTGGAAGCAGAGGCAATGAATTGCAAAGGCAGTCCAATTAAAGTAACATTGGCAACTTTGAAAATGTCTGTACACCCAACAGTTTCCCTTGGGGGCTTTGAAATTACAGCTGTTGTCGTAAGGTTGAAGCGTGGTTCAGGGCCTGTGCATATTAGTGGACATCACTTAGTGGCTGTGGAGGAAGATGCAGAATCAGATGATGAGGAGGAAGAGGATGTAAAACTCTTAAGTATACATGGAAAGCGATCTGCCCCTGGAAGTGGTAGCAAGGTTCCACAGAAAAAAGTAAAACTAGCTGCTGATGAAGATGATGATGATGATTTTGATGATGAGGAAGCTGAAGAGAAAGCACCAGTGAAGAAATTGATACGATACTCCAGCCAAAAATGCACAAAAAAAAACCAGAATGGAAAAGACTCAAAACCATCCACACCAAGATCAAAAGGCCAAGAATCCTTCAAAAAAACAAGAAAAGACTCCTAAAACACCCAAAGGACCTAGTTCTATAGAAGATATTAAAGCAGAAATGCAAGCCCCTTTAGAAAAGGGTGGTTCTCTTCCCAAGGTGGAAGCCAAGATCATCAATTATGTGAAGAACTGCTTCCGGGTGACTGACCAGGAGGCTGTTCAAGATCTCTGGCAGTGGAGGAAGTCTCTTTAAGAAAACAATTTAAACAGTATTTTCTGACTTATTTCATTTCTGGAACAGTTGATATCTGGCTGTCCTTTTTATAATGCAAAGTGAGAACTTTCCCTACCGTGTTTGATAAATGTTGTCCAGGTTCCATTGCCAAGAATGTGTTGTCCAAAATGCCTGTTTAGTTTTTAAAGATGGAACTCCACCCTTTGCTTGGTTTTAAGTGTGTATGGAAGGTTATGAAAGGACATAGTAGTAGTGGTGGTCAGACATGGAGATGGTGGGGAGACAAAAATATACATGTGAAATAAACTCAGTATTTTAATTAAAAAAAAAAAAAGACAGACTTGGGGACAGGAGACTCCTTGTTCCTTTACCCTCTGGGGAATGCACATCTTGGGTAGAATGGTGGATTATTTCTTCTATTGTTCTCCTTCTTTCTCCAACACTGCCCCCATCAAACACCTTATTCTGACTTTTGTAAATTAGTGGATATCTTTTTAAAGGAATCAATACAATAATAGTTTTTGATGGGAAACATCTGCCTCTTACAATGTGCCTTCTAGACGCCAACTGGTGTTAATACATTATCTGAGAAAATCCCTCCAAATAGCCTAGATTAAATTGTTCCATTAACATGTATTTACCTGGAAGAAAACCAGTAGTTGATGAGGCTGGAGACCACCACATAGCACACGATGATCGTCCCTGACAGGGCAAGTGATATGAAGACCAAACCACAGAGGACACAAAGTAGTGTAACGCCACCCACAGAAATGACCAGTCCTAGGAAGAGAACATGATTAGGAGAAGCGATCATCTAAACCTGGTTCAAAACAGGCAGATGTGGGCCGGGGATTTAGCTCAGTGGTTTCGCCACCTGCTGCTCAAGCACAAGGACCCGAGTTCGATCCCCGGTACCAAAAAAAAACAACAAAAAAGAAACAAAACAAAAAACTAGGCAGATGCTGGGCCAGTATGTTCAAAATAATGACAGTTCAAATTTTTAAAGTGAGATTTCCATAAAAATCCAGATTTTGTGGTACCATTCGACTTGGGTGTGCCTCAGTGATAACAGTGACCAGCCGGCCCTCCGGTGCTTCCAGTCCCCACTGTTCCCACATTATATTACCGGGGTCTCTTTGCTCGTTTTTGTTACCCATCGAACAGGCTGAGGCTCAGAAAAGGTAAAAACTTGCCCAAAATCACACCAGTGGGGGTGCTTTGGTAATGCAGACTCTAGGGCCTATATTTTAACTGCTCTGACAAGCTGCCTGCTTTTGGAAATGGGAACCTCTGACAAGAATGGCAGATGCCCAATCAAGGATGTCTTCCCAGTTAGTTTCCAGTAACGGAGCAGGATACCTTCCAGTAACAGGACTCCTACAAGAGCGGCCAGGGAGCTGAGCACCACGAGGAGCAGGAAGAACCCAACAGGGACAGCAGACATGGCCACGAACACCAGCATGGAGAGGGCCAGGAAAGGATGCCTGTCCAAGTACTGACCCATGGGAGACTTCGTGAAAGCAACCACCTGCCGGCAAGAGACAAAGAACCAGGTCTGAGTGACAGGCCCGAATCCCAGGGGATGAGTCCACCTGAGCTGAGGGAGGGACACCCAGAGGTCATCAAGGAAGGCTCGTAGGGAGGCCTCATTCCAAACACCAGTCCTCCAGGCAGCCACGTAAGGTGGCTCTGCGTCAGGCCCAAGTTTGAAGTCCTCACCCAATGTCAGGTCTTGTGAGAGGAGGAAACACAGTTACAGCTCCCCTGCCTAACACATGCCCTCTCTGAAGGCATCCTCAGCTAAGTGCATTGATGAGATGTAGGTACAATTTATCTCCTGTTTCACAGCTGAGGTTCTCATAGTGAAAAGATTAACTTCTAGCTACTCAGCACCACATAAGAGCTTAATAGAAATGCAGAACATCGGGCCTCAGCCCACACCTGCTGAGTCCAGTTCTGCGTTTTCAACTTTAGAGTTTGAGATGCAGTGGCCTAAAGGAGTTATTTGGAGATGACCAGCTTCCAAGTGACAAAGTCTAGGCATTCAAAGCTAGGGCCGTAAAAATGCTTTTGGACTAATGTGGCTGGGGATTTAGATCAGTGGTGCCATGCCTGTCTCACAAGTGCAGGGTCCTGAGTTCGATCCCCAGTAACCCCCCACCCCCCACCATGCTTTTATCTCTAACCTTGACTGTCAGCATATACTGATTTAATAAATGGGGATTTGGGGATCTGACTCAGTGGAAGGGGAGTGGCTTTAAAGCACAGCTGGCTCCAGAAAGCCCCACAAAGATGGACTTCCCTTCTCCTTCTGAAGCCCCCACCTTCCCTTTTCCCAGTACTCACACTACAGACCCTGTTCCCCTGAAAGGGCCCCTTATTCCCAAAAATTCCTCCATCACACTGGTTCTTCCTGTGTCTCATTCCTGAGGGCTTTGCAGGCCAAGTGACTGAAAGGAAAATATAATTCAAGTACAGTGTTACAGATGCCACTGCCCCAAACACAGGTGCTTCCTAGAGACAGGTGTTCACCCAAGTGATTCAATGGTGGGAATCTGGGGGCAAGTTGGAAACATGAGAATTTTATAGTTTGAGATGGCAAAGAAAGCACAGGGCTGACCCTGCCTGAATAGGAAAGGTCGTTCCAGGAGTCACAGGCATCTGTCTTGGGGCCTCCTAAGGAGAAATCTCTCAAGGCATGACAAACTTCACCTCTTGGCAGGCCCATTGGCTACACTTCCTCCTGCTTCTCCATTTTGACAAAAGCTGCCAAAGACTTTGTTATTCAGCTTCTTTAGCCAGAGGTGACCATACCAAGACTCACCTTTGAGCCTAGGCTTCCTACTCAGACATCCCATTATCAGAGCCTGGGAGATCTTCCTAAGCTAAGGTGCCAAAGGCAAGAGGGAGGTGGAAGAGACATGGGCTGGAGTCTTGCACTGTCTCGGGCCTTTGTTGCTTTTCCGGTCTAATCCACATGTATCCTTAGCAAATGCTCCCTATGCCATCTGACACACTCAACTGTCTCTCTGTTCCTGAAACTCAAAAGGGCCTGAGGAAGCATGATGGTGGAGAGGATGGCACGCAGGTAAGGGACCCAGCAGTGCACACAGTGAGGAGCCCTTGCTTGTGAGGAACACCTGTGTGGCAAGAGAGGCAGACAAGGCTGGGATGCCCAGCTACCAGGCGGAAGGGGTCACATCTGCACTATCCAGCAGCAGCCATAGGGGGCGCTGGGCACTAGGATTGTTTCCTAGTATGGTCAATGGCCAGGATTTTTCATTAACTTTAAATGTAAAGCCTCACATTCGATTCAGTCACTGGAAAACTTTTAAGTATGTTTCAAGCAGGTTGGTCATGCAAATCTAGTTTTATAAACTGTACATTTTATAAAGACTGATTAGAGAGCTAGATGTTTCCAATGGAAATTTAGAATCTGAATTGAGATTTAAATGACTGTTGGATAACTCATTAATGATTTTTATATTAATTACAGGCTGAAATTATAGTGTTTCGGATATACCGGGTTAAATAAAATATACTATTTAAATGAATTTCATTTGTTTATTTTTATGTTTTTAACTGTGACTCTCAAATTTAAAATTATATATATGGGATGCATAATATATCCATTGGACAACATTCATTTAAACTTTATCTCAGTAGAGGGGAGCAAACTAGGGGCACTTGATCAGGACTGTGACATAACTGAGGGAGCAATTTAAGGAAGATGAACCTGGTACTCATATGCAAGAAGCAGTCAGGGAGATCTGCAGGAAATCAGGCAAGATACAGTAATGGCCAAACCTAGACTGATGATAGAGAGGAAGGAGGTCAGGGTGATACAGCCTGGAATTTGACCGACAAAAGAAAAATTCATGGGACTTAGGAACAATTTGGCATGGGGAATCCAAGAGGAAAAAGGCAAGACTGTTCTACTTCTAGTCCTTGAGGATCTACTTTTTCAAAGCTTCTTCTGAGTCTGGATTCTGCAACAACAACAACAACAACCCCCCCCCAAAAAACAAAAAACAGAAAGTCATTCATACATGCAGAGAGAACATTTTAAGATTCAAACAGTAGGGGCTGGGGATTTAACTCAGTGGTGCTGCACCTGCCCCACAAGCTCAAGGTCCTGAGCTCAATCCCAGGTACCAAAACAAAGAAAGATTCAAACCGTAAAGCCCAGCAACTGTTGTTTCCCAGGAAGAATGGCCCAGCTCAGGCCCTCTCTCCTGGAAGGGGAAGGCCCTCCCTGTTCAGCCATGACTAACACTAACAGAGAATCTCCATTAAACACTTAGGTGCCAGGCACTGTTTTGAGTGCTTTCCATGTATTTGCTCTTATAATTCTCCCTACAGGACTGTGAGACAGGTACTAGCATTATCTAAGTCCAGGGTGTTAAAACATTACAATCAAATTTTCATTCTTATGGTAACAGAGGGGACACAATGGGAGGAGGAAAAGTGGGAGAGCTTATTATGCAATAACATGCTCTGTAATTTTTCATCCCCACCCTGGAGGCAGAATGAGCTTCCTACCTAATCTAGAGGTGTAGTACTGCTCTGAACAACCCAGGAATGTCAGGCTAGGCCCAGCATCTTAGATAATCCACACAACATGTCTATGGGCCTGGGACTGCTTATTTTAGAAAAGAGGAGATGAAAATTCAATGAACTCGACTGACTTGCCCAAGGTTAGACAAAGATGATTTAATTGTAAATACATATCCCAGCATTAGAGTTTCAAAGTAAGGTTCATATGGCAGGATTTGAGGACATAAGTCTACCTGGAGCTACTCAGCAGCCAGGGAAATTCTCTGGTGTCACAAGATGAAGCAAGAGACAGTGAGGAGGGGGCTGGAGTCCCATACTCCTCTTCGAGGACATGTCCCTCCCACAATGACCTAACTTCCTCCCACCAGGCCTCACATCTTGAGGGTTCCACAACCTCCTGATAGTGCTAGCCTGGCAACCGAGCCTTTAACACAGGTGTGTCCAGCCTGAACCCTACAGGCTGCTTGCTCTCTTTTTTAAAGTTATAACTAAAAATTTAAAAGATACAAAGGAAGTTTAGTTACTCGTATATATTAACTATATTATATGCTTTATATGTGGACCAAAACAATTCCTCTTCACTTAATGCAGCCTGGGTAAGCCAAAAGGTTGGACACCCTGCATCTAAACGATATAACTGTGGGCTATTTGGTATTACACTTTTCATTTTTGTGCTTTTGATTGGGATTTCATTGTTTAAGTGGCCCCCACAATGTTGTGCTGAAGTGCTCTTTAGTGTTCATAAGAAGGCAGTGGTGTGCTTTATGGAGAAAAAGTACATATTACAACATGCACATGTTTGTTTAAGACATGAGTTCCAGTGCTCTTGGCCCTGAGTTCAATACTAATGAACAATATGCAGTATACTGAAATGTCTTTAAACAGAAATACACATAAAACAAGGTTATATGTTGATCATATGGCCAGAAGCTCAAAGAAATCGGTCTGCATTTCACCCAGGAGCAATGGCTTGGCATCTCTTCTTGCAGTGTTTGTGGTGACATTATAGAACATAACTGCCACAAATAATGAGAATCAACTGTACAGATGGGGTCCTTTATTACTAACTTTGAATAACAAGATTCTCAGTCAACTGACTAGAAACATGTTTTTCTGGTTTAAAAATAGTTTGGAAAATCCACAAAGAGTGCCAGATGCATTTCAGAGGAAGTCCAGAAAAGGTCTCTGCATAGTATTGCTCTAGAGCACAAAGAAATATCTCCTCAAGGGGACCCTAGTGGAACTGTGCTCTAATTTAAAAAAAAAAAAAAATCACAAAACCATTCATTGTGTTCCATACACATGTGTATTTCTATGGGTACATTGAATAGAAAAGTCTAGAAAGACATATAACAAAATGATAATAGCATTATCTCAGAAAGCTCTTTTTTACCCTGATAAACTGCTGAAAGGCATAGAGAAGAAAGCAATAAAGTAAATTTGCAAGAAAACAGTATATACTATCTCAAGTGTCATTGCCATTAAACAGTTGAACACTTGAAAAATGGCTAATTTGAATTCTAAAACATATTCTAAAACATACACTGGATTTCAAAGAGTCACTATTAAAAAGATTATGAAAACATGTCAAGAACTTTTTTCGCTACTAATTTTTTATAATGATTACATATTGAAATAATACTATTTTTTGGATATATTAGGTTAAATAAAATACATTCTTAAATTTCCATTTCTTTTTACTTGTTAAATGTGGCTACTGAAAAAACTTCATTACATATATGGCTCATGGCATACTTCTACTGGACACTGGATTTTTACTGGAATACTAGACTAAAATCTTATAGTAGGTCTTGGCCCCTCATTTTCTGGATAAGCAATAAGCCAAAGTTAACAAGAAAACCAGAGAAAGACAGTGTCTGTATTATAGAGTGAGAATGGCCTCTCTAAATTCAGCTAAAGAATTCAATTTGCCACTGAAGATAGTCATTCAACCAAATTTTAGCCTAACGAGATGTAACCGGAAGTGGTGTGCATGACTTCCAGGAGTTGCTTGCCTGAATATGGCTGAGTCACAAGTTAGGCATGGCAGAGTAGTGAGCTGAAATATTCCTGATTTTTCTCCTAATTTTTTCTACTTAAGTATTTTTCTGTCTTGTTTATATGTGAAAGTTAATTTGGGATTTTCTTAAACATAGTAATTGGAAGCTGACCTTTGAGTTATTCTGAAAGGACTTTATCAGCAAAGATAGGTTCCTCTGGAACTTCTGTAAGTCCTTTGAGACACTTGGGGGCTCTTCTTTGGCCATCTTCAAACTCACTTTAATCTCTTCAGCGTTTAGTTCTCCTACCAGCAAGTTCTCTGGTGTAATACTCAGTCCAATCTCTCATGTTTCCCAGTCTCTTGCTGTCGCTGGAAGAAACAAAAAGTTTCTTAGATCATTAGTAGTCTCTATCCACCTAGTTCAATAAGAGCTCTGACTATCCAAGCCTAGTGATGGTAGGTATGCAGATGAAGGACAACTTGGCAATATTTATCAAAATTTCAAATTGTACACACTTCACTCCAGCAGTTTATTTTATAGGAACCTGAAGGAAAAAAATCAAATAGAAAGATCAAAAAGTATTCAAAAGATGTGTATCACATCCCTGTTGATAATAGTGAATGACTAGTAAAACACTGGGAAGAAACTAACTGCCCACTAATGAGAAATTGGTTAAATAAAGATAAATTCAGTCATTAAATGAATGTTTACTTAGTGACATGAAAAGATGTTCAGAAGTTTTTAAAAAGATAAAATCTCCATTGTTACATACACATATATATTTATGTATAAATGGCGTAGTAAATGATGTAGGATATACAACAAAATGTTGACGGTATTATCTCCAAGAGCTTAGCCTGACAAAACGCTGGAAATAATAAACTGAAACCAAGAAAGCTGAAAGAATATTTGAAATTCCACTACATTTTCTCTCTCCCTTTCTTGTACAACAGTGACCTTGGGTGATTTTTTTCTTCTGTTGGCTCCCAATTACATTGTGCCTCAAATCATTCCCTATGTACATCTTCCTCCTAACAACAGCCTGCCTCAGGGACAGATCTTATCACATGCTGTAACCAAGCGGCCTGGAATTTCTAGGACTGTGCCAATCTCACATAATTTTTATTTTTAATAAAAGCCATTTGTTAGATGATTTTTGTTTTTAATTTTTATTAATACATGTTTGCAGTACATATATCATGAGGTACATGTACATAATACATCCTAATTCTTTTTATATCCTATCCCCTCGCCTCCCTCGAGATATGTTTTAACTCTGAGTTTTCAACTATCATTCTTATTTTACATTTCCCAGAACAACTGTCTGGCAGAACACACAGATCTCTTCTTCCATTTCGGCTTTACAACTAATCTCCTGACCTACAGTACAAATGCCTACCAGACTCTGTCACCACGGCCAAAATGAACTGCAAGAGCTTCGCATTTATTCACCATATTAGATATCTCACACCCTAATTATGTGAGGGGGGGTTGTTACTATTAAAATCCACAGGATTTGGTATGCAAATTAAGATATATTTTAATAGCCTCAGCTAGAGATTCTCCCCCTTTGGACAAGAGAAGGATTAACCCCTCCACCCCATATTCTGCCTCCAAACCTGCAGCTGGCATAGATCTTGAGTCTGGGATATCCCCAGCACCCAATTCTACTAATCTCAACTCTACAGCTGGCAGAAAATAGCCCGGTAGTCCTTACAGGTCTCCTTTGGCCTGGGAAACCCAAGTGCTTCCCAGACTGATTTGAGGAGTCCGTTAGCAGTGAGTGTAGGGAGAAGGCCAAAAGGCACAGACACCAAACACATCTATCTATTACCAAACCAACTCCCAAACTCCTTTGTCACTCGTCCCGGGTGAGCAGCCTGGAGAGTAGGCAAGCCCCGCCTCCTTCACAGTTGGGGTCGGAGCCAAGCCCACCCCACCCAACTGGTTCCGCTTCTTCCAGGGCTCCAAATAAAGCCCCGGCTCTCCCACCCCCGCGCCTCAGGGAGCAAACAGCCACCCATCGGTTCCACGCAGGGAAGGGTCTCCTCTCCGTGTGGGAGCAGGGACCGGGCGAGGTCGCCCCCTTTCCCACCTGGGTCCAGCAGAACCCTGGCAACCCGGAGGCTGGAGTGGGATCCCGGGGAGAAGGGAAGGGGGTGTGACCCAGAAGGAGACACTGGGGCCGGGGTTGGGGGAGTAGGGCAGCCTGTCAAGGATTTGGAAAGCACTCCCTTTGGTGCTCGCAGCTGCTCTCCCCGCAGTGAGAGGAGATGGTTAGATGGGCTGGGGAAGGGTCTGAGGAGGGGTGTGGGTGACGGCCCTTTTAGCAAATGTGGTGGCAGGCGTGCGGCGAGGTGGGAGGGTCAGTGGGTTTCTGAGGCGTAGGTCCAGGCTTCCGGTGCGCTCCCAGCTCCGACGCAGTGACTCTAGGCACGAAATACCCGTGTCACCAGCCCGGGACACAGAGGTGCAGGCCAGGGATGCGACTGCACTGTCTACTCCCCCCTCCCCACCCTCGCCGGGCGAGCAAAGGGCTAGGGGCCCCAGGTCCTCCACCCTCAGTCTTCCAGCTGTCTCACCTGGCGCCGGCGGAACGCGGCTCCAGCAGTAAGTGCGGGAGAAGGAGGAAGGACCGCGCGCAGGCGGGAGGCCCGGCTTCTTCCTCCACTCCGGAGCCGCCGGCCCCGCCCTCTCCCTGCCCCGCCCCCTCTCAGGCTCCGCCCCTCTGGCTCCGCCCAGCATGGGCGGAAGTCCAACGGGGAATTTTCCATCGCGGTGCTCGCTCCCTCAAACTCTCTTGGAAGCGACCGGACTAGTTCGGAGAGGTTTACAGATGAGGGAATTGAAGCTTGGAGAGAGTGACCCATCCTGCACTCATGGCTTGGAGTGAAAGTTCTCGGCCACCTGGGGTTGTGAAGGATAGCGTTTTCCCGCCTAAACACCCAGACAACCCTTCCAGAAGCTTCTCTGCAGCTCAAGACCCACAGGTGATGTGCTTCCCCCTTGACTGGAATGTTTTAACCATAACTCCTCAAATGCAAATGTCATCAGTTGTGGGAGATGGATTAGATTATTTTCGTTGTACAGATGAAAAAATTGAAACAACACAAGTCCTTCAGTTCACAAGGATCCAGTCAGAGCAGGAGCTGTTTGCTGGTCTCAAATCCAGGCCAAAGGAGCAGGATCTCTCCACAGCAGTGCAGTTGGCACTTTGGGTAGGAGGATTCTGCTTCTGGGCTTCCCGTGACTGTGGGATGTTTAGCAGTATATGTGGCCTCTACCCAGTAGATACCAGTGGACCTCTCCCCAGTTGTGACAACCAAAAATGTCCCCTCAACAGTGCCAAATGTTCCCTGGGGAAGTGTTCTGGGTTGAAAACCACTGCCATAGGGCATACAGGTAAAGACCATGAGCTGAGGTCCAGCAGTCAGCCCCAGGCTCCGTTCCTTGCTCTGTGACCTTGGAAGAGAGACCTCTCTGAGCATGGTTCCATCCGTATAATGTCAAGAGGGACAAGCCCAGGCACTGGTGTGCTTCTAAACAAATCTCAGGCCCTTTTCATCAGGAACCTGTGTTGATTTCCTTCCCTTCAGAGACCCGTGTCCATAGTGACCCAGAGAATAAGTCTGTAGGTAAAGAGAGAAAGAAGTCATAGGGTTATAGTGAAGACTGGGACAATGATTGGCTGTAAAGAACTTAGCATTCACCATTTTTGAGCACGGTACAAGCTCGGAAATGCTCAATGTTATTACTTCTGCCACCTTGTATTTCTAGAAATAATCAGGTTGGTGAATACAGAAATAAGCTTGGTGATAATGACAATAATTATAAACCAAGGAATCCTACTCTAACTCCTCTCCTTTGCAAAAAAAGGTGCTAATGAAGGAGATGGGACAGCATGGATAGATGTCTGTGTCTATATTCTTAAATTTCAGGGAATCTTGCCTTCATGCACTTTGTACTTTGTTCAGTTGTAATATGATGTTTTCCCCACCTAGAAAGCTGTTTTGTTTTCCTTAGACTAAGGCACTGTGTCACTCCCAGAGCAAGTGCTGCTTTGAAAGTTAAACTGGGGCTTCAGTTGGTATTTCTGTTTAAGGGTACCATCTAGGGGCACATCTGTGAATCATTTAATTCTTTCCGCTTCTGGCATTTTTGTAGGGTGACCAGTCAGGTTTCGCCTCTCTTTGTGTGTTGACTGCATCTTCCAGCACATCACGTACTCCCCTTGGTGGGAATCTAGCTAGCATCTCTGCATCTCCACGTAGTATCAGGACTTGGCTGTCAATGAGCATCCAGTGGATTGATAAAATAAATCCACATGCAGCCTCTCCTATAGGAAGTAAGTTTTTAGCAACACTTGCTCTGTTAAGCAGTTACTTCAGGCATCAGAAAAGATCTGTCAGAGGCACATGACTTTGAATAAGAAATGTGTGAAATTCCCCCAGCAAGGAATTAAGACCCTAAAATATTATACCACAGAGACAGAAACAGCCTGGCACCTGGCTGGCCTCTCTTCTCCAAGTTACTATATTTAACAAATGAAAATACAGGATACTCAGTTAAATTTCAATTTCAGGTAAAAACAAATAACTTTTTGGTATAAGTATGCCCCAAATGTTGAGTGGGACATACTTCTACTGAAACATTACTTTGCCTGAAAATTGTTTACCTGAAATTCTGATGTCACTGGACAACCTGTGTTTTATCTGGGCACAGAGTTGAGAGGATCGAGGCCCACATCCCATCTTGGGAATTACTAAATAGAAAGATAAATCAGATAACAAATACTTCTAGTACATGAGAGGTGGCCTCAGGGGATGGTGCTTTCATTCTTTTTAGCAAGTATTTTACTTATTTTTCATCTTTCCTCAGGCTACATGTTGGTTTTTGGTTAAAGTCATGGAACAGTTTTCATAACCAGGTTCAAGTACCAACTTTGCTACTGACCTCACTGAATAATTATGGGCATATTAATTAACTCCATGACTCAGTTTCCTCAACCAAGAAATTGGGATAATGACATTCATCTTCTTGATTCTTGAAAAGATTTAAAAAGATGGTGTTTGTTAAGTCCTAAGAGCCAGTCATGGAAAATTGTATAAATAGAACCTATTATAATTGTTTGATGTTTTGAACACAGTTTTTTGTTTTTTTTTTTGGTACCGGGGATCAAACTCGGGCCCTTCCACTTGCAAGGCAGGCAACAGAACCACTGAGCTAAATCTCCAACCCCTTGAACAGTTTTTAAAGCACACTAAGTTTCAGATGGGGGGATGTTGCCTACTCACGCACAAGGTCGAAGGCCTTCTGAGCCCTGTGCCAGGCCCTTTCTAATTCTTCAGTTCCTTATATTGAGAGTTGGGTTATGTGGGATATGATGTTTCATACCCAGGGCAGAAAGCCTGATCATAACCCCAATTCTGTCTAAACAAAAGACTCGAACCCTTGCACTGGCTCATTTATTCCAAATTCTAATTACTGCATTCAGTGGTGGAATTGTTCTCTGCCAAATGCTATTAAAAACCTATGCTGTTGGATCTCAGTATCCATAGGAGACTAGTTCCAGGACTTCTGCAGATACCAAAATTTGTGGGTGCTTAGGTCCCTTAATTAAAATGGTACAGTATTTGCATGTATCTTAAGGCACATATGTTTTATATATAGATTACGTAAAATAACTAATACAATGTAAATGCTGTCAAAATAGTTGCTATGCTGTATTGTTTAGGAAATAATGACAAGAAGAAAGTCTGTATATGTTCAGTACAGATACAATTTTTTTCTCAAATATTTTGGATCAATGAATGGTTGAATCCCCAGATGCAGAACCCATAGATACAGGGGGATGACTGTATACACCTTATCCAGAAAATACAAACACTACGAAATGAGGAAGCTCAGTTTATTTTGAAAGTGTAGAGACCAATTTTGAGGATAAGGTAAGAAAAAGGAGAAATAGAAGCACTTGGGGTTATGCATTGCTCTTCAAAGCAGCTCAAAGACTTTTGTGTTCTGGGTAGGTGCTTTGGGGAAAGCACTGGATTCAGAGTCATGGGAACTGTGTTCAGATTGTATCAGCAGTGCTTATGAGTTATACCAATTTAGGAAAGTTATGCATCTCCCAGTTTGAGTTTCTATTTCTATACCATAGAGCATTGTGGAATTTGGGGGGAAAATGAAATGAAATAAAGGCAGATATGCAAACAGGGCACCCAGAAAGAGCTCAGTAAATCTAACCTGGCTTTCAGAGAACATATGTAACAAGTGTTGTGGCTATTTGGTCAGCAGCTAACTTTGGTCCTTGTGTGTGAGTATGTGTGCTTGTGTTTCTGTTTATAATAATATTGATGTTAGCTGTAACATTTATAGAGGACCTATGTCACTGATCGACCAAACTGTCCCGGTTTGCCCAGGACTAAAGAGGTTCCCGGGACACAGGACCTACAGTGTTAAAACTGGAAAAGTCTTAGGCAAACTGGACAAATTGGCCAACCTTCTGCTACGTGCAAATTGCTCTATACACAGTATTTCATTAAACCTTCAAACCAGCCTGTGAGGCAGGTACTCACAGTATTGCTCAGTTACAGAGAAAAAGTTCACTCAAAGAGATGAAGCAATTTGTTCAAGCCATACAGCTTATTAATGGGAAGAGAAGAATCTGAGCCAGACGTCTCCAGGTCTTGATTTTGAGATCTGAACCACCATGCTGTGTCGTTTGAGACCAATCCAAAGGCATGGCCTCTCTTTGCCACTCTCCTCTGCCTTCCTGGGTCATTGCTAAATGCCTTCCTGTCTTCCTTTCTGTCGCTGGTTCTCCCTGTTGCCTAGCTGAATCTTCAGCAGTGTCAACAGAACAGACATGGAGCTAGGTCAAGCCCAGTCTTGTATGTAGACACAGCAGCGGCCTCCTTCCCTTAGCAACAGACGCTGATGCCTGGTTACTGGCCCCAGGGCCTGAGTACAGCTTCTGTACCCCAGTGTAAAAACTGCCCAGGAAGGAGAAGGGAGATGAGTACTGGGTGGCTGGTGTTTGAGAGAGTCTTCCCTGTTTTCTCTTTTAATTTGTTGTTGGGAGCATTTCTACATAAATTTGAGGGGAAAGTCTGTTTCAGTTTTTTTCCTCTTCAGGAACCTTTCTGTGTTCCAGGAAAAGTTCCAAGAGATCTGCTCAAGGGGAAGAGTGACTGTTGCAAGGAGCAGGAACCAGAGGGGGGAAAAACAAAACCAGCAGCACCCTATTCTCTACTTCCCTTTCTCTCCTCTTCTACCAGGAAATTCTTCAGAGGCCTGAAGTCTATGACCTCAGAGAGGGAGCCTTCTGAACGGAGTTTTCGAGCATCTGGAAAGTTCCATTGTCAGTGTCATCCCCACTGTACTATAAGGAATTGTGGATTTCGGAGCAACTGGGTAGGAGAGGAGCAGCCCTACTGAAGCTCTTTACTCATTTTTAATAGGTACAATTAAAGCTGACACTTTAGGCGACATGGATTGCTCATCTCAAAAGGTAGGTGTCAGTTTTAAAGCATGTTTCTTTTCCTGTATTTTCAAAATGTAGGGAACTTTAAGAGTTTATGGGAAGGGGATGGTCTAGTCATACACCAATTGGCATGTTAGAGTCTCTTGACCTAGCAAGTGTGTTAAACATGTTCATGGTATATGCTATGAAATATGATTTTTGCTGACTTAGTCTGTGGGTGTATTCAGGTTTAACAGGAAAAATTTAGAGGTACCTGTTGTCCTTTTTCCTTCCCTTCTAAAGTCATTAGACCATATATTCCAACCAACAGCTCCTATTTCTGGCTGCACATCAGAGTATTCTGGGCACATCTTAAAAATGTGGAGTCTCGGTCTCTACCTCCAAAGATTCCGATCTAGAAAATTTGGATTGGAGCTTTGAAATCTGTATTTTTTAATGAGAGCTGAGTACTTTTGGTGTAGCAGGTCCTCAGGTCAGCATTTGGGAATTACTTTCGTAAAGAGCATGCAAACATCGTGTGTAAACAGAAACAAGCTGCCTAAATGTATTGGTTCTGCCTAATCTAGGTGTCAGAATCTTGGTTGTAAAAGCTAAGATCCACTAGGTTGCCATTTGAAGTGCCCCGAGGAGCATTTAAAAATTGGAATTTTATCAAATTAGATTTGTTAATAATATCCAAGCCCAGGCTCTGAAATGAAGGCTCCCTACAATTTAACAAACCATTTTGCATGGATACATATTTCTTCCAAGAAGCTCCATCTCCTTTCCTTTGAAGGTAACATAGTTCTTAGCCAGGTCTGGTCAAGAACGCTTTCTTGGGTCTGTTCTGGAATTGAGTTTTAGATCTGCTGATCTTTTGTGTGCTCCATTCATTCTACAGACTGAGGTGTTTTCTGTATTGGGGTATTTATGACTTCTTGAGTGTAAATCTTTTTCTTTGCCTATAAACTATCTTATATCTTGTTTCTGCAGAGGTTCTGTTGCTCCTGTTGCATTTAGTGAAATACTTGTGGCTTGCTCTCTTCAATACCTCAAGAATAGCTTATCTGTTTGCATGCTGTGGTATCTTTGCTCCCTCTCCTGAGCACTCTGTCACTGATTCATCTGTGTCTGTGTCCATAACTTGGATGACCATTTGTTAGCATGGGGGGGACATAAATATAATGCAATCTGCCTCAAACCCAAAAGGATCTGTGTATGAGATCAAGTAATCAAGAAGTCCAAGTGATATCCAGGGTTCCAGATGATGTCATCGAGATTCAGTCTTTCTCATTCTGGTGATTCTGCTTGCTTCTGTGTTGACTTCATTCTAAGGCAGACTTGTCCCCACTTGACATGAAGATGACTATTATCTGTTCTACCATAAATAACCTCATAGTTGGTGACTCTAATGAAAACAGAGTGCTCTTTATCAATAGCTCCAGTGAAAATGTCAGGAAATACCCTGGTCAACCCAGCTTGGGTCACATGCTTTTCCCTGAACCAATTACTGTGTCTAGGAAGATGGAATAGTCTGATGGTCAGACCTGTGTCTCATGTCTTGTTCTGGAGCCAAGGGATGGGATTAGCCACATTGTACAACATGGACTAAAACTGGAGTAGAACCAGTTATAGCCACTAAGGATACACTCTGTTTCTTTTGGTGGGAAGACTACTATCTCAATTGGTGTCAGGAATGAAGTCAGGTTTTTCCCTACCCTGGGTAGACCAATGAATTCCAAGATAATGCTTGAATAATGTTAATATTCTTCTTGATTGCAGAAGGGCAGTTTTTTTTTTAATAATTACTCATTCGGTCATTGTAAATTTGTAACTTAATCAAGATGTTCCAATTTTGTGGTGTTCGTTTGTTGTTCTTGTAATGAAAATTTTTATTTGGAATAGATTTAAAATCTAGGCCAAAGGGAAGATTTCCACTGGCCACAAAACCCTGTTGCTTGCAAAGACACAACACAGACAGCCCTATCCTATCAACCTGTACATGTTTTACATCTGGGATCGTGAAAGAAATAAGTGACTTCATATCCCTGGGAGTATTGCTGCTAAAATCTTTCTTGGATGGTATAGTACCTACTTTGGATAATCAGATTCCTTTCCAGTTGACTCTGGGATTTTTTTCATTTTGTTTGCCTCATCAGTGCAGATTTAGAATTAATTTCATTAGTTGAAGACGGAACACTTGGAGATGATTGGTCAAATTCTCATAACTTAGACTGAGAAAGACAGAGGGGTTGGTTTTAATCAACAGAACAAGTTCTATGGTTTTGTATGATGAAAACAGTGGAGTCAGTTGTTCTCAAATGCATCATGTTTGAGGTAGGACTGAAGCATTCCTACTTTGAATAAAGTACCATTGGTGATTCCAATATGCCACAGTTTTTTGAGAACAATTAAATTAAACTATGAGATCAATGAACCCATTTCATGTTTTTAAAGATCCCAAGCTCAGTGTACATCTCTGTTTATGGGTTTGGATATTTTCATTTAATTTTAAGGTCCACAACCTTCCTAAAGTAATTTGCTATGTAAGTAATACTTGCTATTTCCAATGTGTTGAGGTTCAAAGTGATGTGTATTTAAAAGCCATTAACTTAGAAGACAAATCTGCATCTCATGTGGCTGGGATATGTTACTTGTTGTCCCTGGCTCTTAGTTTCATCGACTAGAATGTGGGTACAAAAAAAAATTCTAAGATTGTAAAGAAGCTGGTTCTTAATAATTTGGCATAATGGCAGATGTCATTGCTGTTGTTATTATTTAATGAAGTAGGTGCTCCAGGAGAGACAGTGGAGATTAATGGGAATCAGCAGTAAGGGGTTGGTTGGGACATGGTGGAGGGCAGGGGCGCCCACTACTAATATTGAGTCATATCCTCCTCCTCCACCTGACCTCTCACCAGTGATCTTGCATGACATAATTTGCAGATCCAAATAAGTCAAATTCATATAACAATGTCTCATCTTACACAAGACTTAAGTCCAAAAGTATTGCCTAAGGTGAAAACCAAAGAGCCAAAATGGCCCTTGAAAATCCTTCAGACCAACTTTAAAGTGCTATATAGCAACACCTTTCTGTAAGTCTGGGCCAGCAGTTTTTTCTCCAGTGTTGGAACACATTACAGTGTCTTTTTCATAGCCCCAGATGAAATTATTGTCTTGTGTATAGTGGGCCTTAGGACAAAAACATGTAATACTGTTCAGTACTGCAGACCCTTTCAGCTCTATTCAGGAGAGTTGGAGAGGCACACGGGAACTGAGAGTGGCTGTGGGAAACACATGTTTTGTTCACACCTATCTGAGGCTGCTCCCCAGTGTGCACTCCTTCATGGAATGGTAGATTCACGCATACCTGCTCTTCGATGGGAGCACCGAGAATTGCTTATGTGTGTGCTAAGCAGACATAAAATGTAGTATGACTGTCTGAGCAAATTTCTATCTGGAACTTTGCATATGTGAAATGCAAGAGTCAGTTTTAAGAAACCACCACTTTTTAATCACACTCTAGGGTAAGAGGGCAGCTGGGGGTACCCTCAGAATTAGGCCTCTTCCTGGGAGAAAGGAACATATCCAGATTAGCTCATAGAGGAGAAGCCAAGGAGGAGATACTAGAGAAGAGACAGGCTAAAGATTTTAAAAAATGAAACATATTTAATGGAGAGAAGTGAAAGGGGTGTTTTGTGAGTAGGACTGTGTGCCACAAACCATTCCTGAGGACCTCTAGTCCTTACCAGCTTCAGAGGCGTGGAAATGTCTCCTCGTACCTGAAGAATGGCTCTGTTCCCATTTCCCACAGCTCGACAAAAGTGACTCGATACACCACATGAGCCACCCCCAGACAAGGCCAGAGCTGCCTCCCCTGCCTGCATCTGTTGATAATGAACCATCTGAACTCTATCAGGTATGCACCCCTGACTGCAGACTCTTCTGCTGAGGATGACAAGGTGAAAAACACCCCCAGCACCTCTTAGTATTCAGGAGGCACCAGTAGGGCACAAACATTCAGACTTGACAAATGAGATTAAGGGCTTTGGTTGTTTTTGCCACTAGACAAATCTGCAGCAGTGTGGGAGAAAGAATTACGTGTTTTTGAAACCCTCTGAACTTCTGTATCTTCAACTGTAAAATGAGGGTAACTCTGTCTTCCTTATAGCCATGTCCGTGAGGAATAAAGATGAGATGTAATCATTTGATTCTATTGTGGAGAGCCCACTGTTACACAGTGGTCAGAGAAGTACAATTGATGTTTATTCAGAAAGTATTTCCACTGAGCTCACAGAAAGTAGAAACTACATAAGGGATATGGAGCGCTGTGAGTCTCAGTTTAAGAAGAACCCAGGCTCACAGAGACATCCCTAATTGTGCCTCGCTCTGCATTTCTTCCCTTATAGACTGTCATGTTGCACAGCTTTTATCCCCCCTTGATGCAACGTACCTCATGGACCCTATCTGTGCCCTTCAAAGAGCAGCACCACCACCGTGGGCCCAGTGATTCCATTGCCAACAATTACTCATTGATGGCCCGAGATCTAAAGCTGAAAGACTTGATAAAGATCTACCAGCCAGTCATCATCAATGCCCCTAGGGACAGGATCACCCGGGGGCTGCTATCAGGTACTTGTGGCAGTGTGCCATGTTTTGTGCAGAGTGAGGCTTCGGAGTGAAACTCTGCTCCTGGGTTCTAGCCCCAGTTCTCCCTCTTGTACAGCTAACTTTGAATAACTTTATAGAGCTTCATTTTCCTCATCTATGAAATGGAAATTATTGCAGTGGCTAACATTTATGGATCTTTTGCATATACTTAGGTACTGTTCTATGTAATTATATAATTGATTCCTGCATCACAAATTACCCCCAAAACATTGTGGCTTAAACCAAGCATTTATTATCACAGTCTCTGCAGGTCAGGAATCTGGGCATGGCTTAAATGGGTCATTCTGGCTCTGGGTCTCTCAAGAAGGTGCAGTCATGGTGTCAGCCAGAGCCACCATCATCAAAGGCAACTAGGGGAGGATCCTAGCTCATTCACATCCTTGGGTCCTTGCTGGCTGTTGGGCTTTGACATTAGTCTCTCACCATGTGTACCTCTCTGTAGGACATCACTTCTGGCTTCTGTTAGAGTAAGGGAGGGAGAGAGCAAAACAAGAGAGAGCCAGCAAGACAAAAGCACAGTATTTTTGGAAGTTAATCTTGGAAGTCACATTCCAAAACTTGTACCATATTCTGTTTATTAGAAATGAATCACTACGTCTGGCCTATACTCAAGGGGAGAAGGTTACACAAAGACATGATACCAGAAAGTAAAGATCATTGGAGGCTATCTTTGAAACTGCTTGTCATAGTATGTTACGAGTATTAATTTATTTCATCTCACCAGGTACACATATGTCTGCTTAGGATACTAAAGAGTATCCTTTAGTAATTTGTGGTAGAAGTATTTTGGAGCTATTCAATCTGCTTTATGTGTCAAGCTCATTCATATTTTTCATTTTCCTCTCTGTGCTATGTCTAAGTGAATTTCTCAGTTATATCTTCCAGTTCATTAATTGTGTCTTCAACTCTGTTCAATCTTGAGTTTATCATGTCTAATAAGTGTTTTCTGTTTTGATGACAATACCTTTTTATTTTCAGATTTTCTAAAGGGTTTTACTTAAGATTTCTCCCAATTTCTTATTCTATTTCTTTAGTCATAGCCCTTTCTGTATCATTTGGAAGATTTTTTTTTTCAAGTAGTTCTCAATAGTATTATTTGTTTATTTAAAGGAACAGGTACATCTCTAGGATGTTGTTGTTTTGCATATTCCTGCAAGATTACACAGCAAACATTAAATACACCAATATTTAATATCATTATATGCAGAAACTTACATTTAAAGTTCTAATTGCTAATATCATGGCCATTGTCATAGCCTGTTTGAGCCATCATAACAAAATACCATAGACTGGTAGCTTATAAACAATGGAAATTTATTTCTCACCGCTCTTCTGGAGGTTAGAAGTCTGAGATCAGGGTACTAGCAGATTCAGTGCCTGGTAAGGGCCTCTTCCTGGTCCACAAATGGTTGTATTCTTGCTGTGTTCTCATATGTTGGAAGAGATTGAGGAATTTCTCTGGGATCTCTTCTGATGAGGGCTCTAACCTCCAAAGACCCTTCCTGTAAATGTCATTATGTTATCGATTAAATTTCAACATGTGAATTTGGGAGAGAATTGGATAAACATTTAGTCTACACAAGTAACATTTAATAATTTTATTACAGAGTAATTAATTTGAAGATCATATTTTCCTGTTTCGTATTAGTAAAATTGTTAGTAATCTGTAAATAACTAGAGTTAAAACCTCCCAGATTTAACTGTCACAGGAATTCTCAGCCAAGCCAGTCTTTGAACATAAACTGCTAAAACATAAACATAAACTGAGAAAGCCAGCAAGATAGAAACTGATAAATATCTGTTATTCAAGTCCTTACTAGAGCTGATTTCTGTTTATTAGTCATTAGAGGAAATTTATATTTGGAGGATCTTAAACTGATTTTGGAGCAATATTGATTTTGCTGTATTATTTCCATTTTGTGAATCTGTCCCTAGATTATTGAGTTTACTGGTTGTCTCTCCTGGTGTTAGTTTTTCTCATGTGTGCTGAGATTTTGATTTGCAGGCCTATATTGAAGATTCTGTCTTCCTTCTTGCTGCATGCATACACACCTATTTTTTACTGAATTATAATTCACATGCAACAAAATACAAAGCTCCCAAATGTTAAGTTCAGTGGGTTTTGATAATTGTTTATACTACATGGCTGCCACACAAACAAGATATAAGGCATTTCTATCACTAGAGAAATTTCCCTTATGTTCCTTTCTGATCAGTTTTCTCACTTGTTCCACATATCTCACTCCAGAGTAACCACTTTCTGATTTCTGTCACCATAGATTCATTTTGTTTGTTCGCATATAAATGTAACTATGCACTTTGTACTATTTTCATGTGTTCTTCTTAAGATAGCTTGCTTTCTTATGTCTCCATGTGTCCCTTAAGACCTTACATTACCCCTCAGATCTTACACTGATGCTTGAAGCTTCCATCATAGATCTGGTCCCTGAGGCAATGTACGGTTAGGTCCAGCTGTCATTACCTTCTTGTGACATCTCTACCCACCATATTGATTGAGGACACATAGGCTTTATCTGCATGGCAGTGCAGATAAAGTCTTTTTAGGCTTGCTTTAGCCCTGGAGCCTGGTCCTAATTCCACACATCATTGTGTGTATTAGGATTCTGTTACCCACCAGATATGACTCCTACCTCCTCCTACCTGCTTCTGCATCCAGAAGCCAAGGCTATGCCTTTTTTTTTTTTTTGGTACGGGGATTGAACTTGGGTCCTTGCACTTGTGCAGCAGGCGACGAAACCACTGAGCTAAATCCCTGGCCCCAAGGCTATGACTTTTACTTCACACTCTGTTCATATCTAGCTCACATAGATGAGTATGTTCTTGTACAGTACAATATATTTTTAATTTTTAAAGAGTATTTTCTTATTATTATTGTGATTAGAAAATACATCTTAAGTAGGAGTCAATTCTCTTGATTCCCTCAAAGTATCAATTTAATGTTTGTATGTCTCTAACATTTCTCTGTTATTTATTAATTTCCTCAAACTAGAGCTTTTAGCAAATCATGGTATTTAAGTAAAATTTAATAAAATTGTTTTTATATAATTTATTGAATGTATTTGTAGTTACCTTCTATTTATTACAAATGATTTTCTTCTATTTTCAGCTATTAGATACTTGTTACAAATAATACTGGTTTTTCTGTTTGTGATCATCACATAAAATATTCTTTAAAAATAAATTCACTAAGGGCTGAGGATTTAGCTCAGTGGTTCTGGCACCTGCTGTGCAAGCTCAAGGTCCTGAGTTCGATCCCCAGTACCAATAAATAAATAAACAAACAAACAAACAAATAAATAAATAAATTCACTAAGTTTAAATGGCTGAGTCTATTTCAAGGGAAACATTAAACAATAATTTAACCGATGCTTAGAAAATAGAGTATAGTATTGGGAAGCAAATTGAGTAGGCAGTTATTAATAGTTGTAAGTGTAGGGATGAATAGAAGGTATGCCTGTTCCCATTTTACAGCTAGGGAAACTGAGATCCAAAGTGATGAAGTCAGTTCTTCAGGGTCACATGGGTAATTAGTGATACATGAGGGACCAGAGCCCCCATCTGCCTTGTCCCACCATACCAGGTCCGCTCCCCTTAGTGTGTTCTTTGATTTTTCCAAGAGTCGTGTCTCTGTGGACAGAGAATGGCGCAAGACCATTCCCCATCACTGACATCTTTCTTCTTTACTCCTGCAGGAACTAAAAGCTCATCACAGCCCAACAAGAAGATGAAGTTCTCCTCCAGAGTCAATGAGGACCCCACTAGGTAAAATGTCATTGTGGTCACTGGAGAACGTAAGACACTGGCTTGATCCCAAGGAGGTTATGGCTTTATTGAAACTATGCTCTGATTCTTGCCTTCAAAGCATTCCAGACATTCCATGACACCCCCCCCCCCCATTATTTGCCTTAGTCCAAATTTTTTAGGCTCTAAACAAAAATCAATTAACCAACTAAGCAAAATCAGTGTTAAGATGTCTATGAGGTGTGTAGTGGCTAGAGTCATCTTTGAAATACACACACATGCCACTAGAGGACATGGAGGAGAGGGACTCCTACTGCAGAATGACACTAACCACATTGTAGGAAGTGGGTCTAACATCACAGGCCCTCTGTGGAGCCCCTAGGGCTGAGCTGTGTCTACTTTTCAGGACCAAGATGGCCTGCAACATCTCAACCTCCTCACCCATGAAGAAGGAGGTGAATACATCTTTGACCCTCCCAGGAAGCAGGCCAATGAGTCCAGAACAGCAGATTAATGTGATGTTACAGCAGGAGATGGAAATAGAAAATAAAGAAAAAACTCCATCTGCATTAGACCTGGAGGTACATTCTTGTTGTCCCCTTTCTTTTTGCTAAATATTACTCTTGGTATCTGAGTGATTTAAACTGAAGGAGAATAGCAGAGCAACCTGATGAATGTTTTAAGAATTGCAAAGTCCAGATGGCATGATAGAGTGCTAAATGGTGTGTGTGTGTGTGTGTGTGTGTGTGTGTGTGTGTGTGAGAGAGAGAGAGAGAGAGAGAGAGAGAGAGAGAGAGAGAGACAGAGAGAGAGACAGACAGACAGACAAAGAAAGGAAGAAGAGGAGGAAGAGGAGGAGAGAGAAGGGGAGAGATCTGATCTATCAAGGCTTGGAAATTGGTGCCTTTGGGTCCTCTTAAAAAATAGGTTGCAAAATGTTGGCCCATAGTCTCAGCTTGCTGGTTTTTCCAAACAAGAAACAGTACACCCAGTTAAATTTGAATTTCAGATAAACAATGAATGCTTTTTTAAGTATAAGTATATCCAAGTGTGTCCTATATTTTTTCTGGCAGCCTTATCACAGCCAAATATGGCCTATAGATGTATTCTTAAAAAGAGGGAAATCTCAAGTTAGATTTTCAACCTCTCCTCAAAAAGCTAAAATACTTGGAGCTCAGTAGTAGCTTCTATTAAATGAAAAATATATTCTCCCATTGGTCATTGTCCTCACTACTGTTTACAGTTTTGTTACATCCAGCCACTTTCATTTGTTATATTACCTGCCTGGCTCCAGGTAGATGTCTGAGTTTCCAGCCCATGTCTTAAAAAAACAAAGTTAATAGTTGTCAAATGTATGGATGATAGGAAGGTTTGCCCATCCCCATTTTTTTTTTTTGGTACCAGGGATTGAACTCGGGTTCTTGGGCTTGCACAGCAGGCGACAAAACCACTGACCTAAATCTGCAGCCCTGCCCATCCCCATTTTACAACTAGGGAAACAGACCCAAAGTGATGAAGTCAGTTCTTCAGGGCTACACTGGTAATTAGTGATACATAAGGGACCAGAGCCCACACCTTCTGCCATATCCCACCATATCATGTCTGCTCCCCTTAGCATGTTCTTGGACTTTAGAACAAAGGCTAAAAGACAAGCAGCTTTTGGGCTTATCGTGTGTAACAAAATACTTAATAATAAAAACGGTGACTGACTATTGCTCTTGGCAAAATTCTGTGCTAAACCTGCTAGCTGCTTGAACCCATTCAAGATTTGGGTACCATGATTATCCCCATTGTCCAGGTTTGGAAATTGGAGCATAGATAAATTAAGCAACGAGCTACGCAGCATTTCTCAAACTTACCCGCAGATAAGAGTCACCGAGTGTGCTTGTTAAAACTCTTCAACTGCCTAAATAGGGCCTGGCTGTCTTCATTTTCGCAGGAGCCTTACTCTCTGCCCCACCCACCCCCATTTCTTAAAATCAGGGAATTTGTCAATACTGCTGTGTACATATGATCCTGACTTGTGATGGTTTGACTTAGGATTTTTTTTTTACTTACAGGTGTAAAAGTGATATGCATATTTTTCAGTAGAAAGCTTATTTTGGACTTTGATCTTTTCCTGGGGTAGTGCAATATTCAGTATGATCCTCTCTTGTCATATGTGGCAGTGACAGTGAGCTGCAGCCACACAATCACAAGGAGACACAAGTGATACTGTACAGTGTATTGTGATGCTAAGCTGGGCTGTTCTGTGGGTTAGGTGTGTTCAATACATTTTTGATGTAGAATATTCGCCACAAGTCAAGTAGCTTCTGTATAAGCTGCTTCCAGTAAGGTTGAGGAGAGGGGGCTGCAGTTACTAGCAGCAGCCCCTTTTGACCACAGATAGTTGGCATTGAAATGCAAATTTCACATCCTTTCCACAAGTTGTGCTTCTCCTTGTCTGAAATTATTCCTTCTGTCTGAAATTATTTCTTTTCTGAGCCAGCAGCAGCTCAGAGCCAAACCCTACATAAACAAAATTTTCTGAAATCCTTGGATCACATTGGGCATTTTTGTTTAGTTTTTGTGTTTGTGTTGCTTTCCAAACTCAAAAGCCCATGTTTGGATTGGAACCATCATAACTGTCGGTCAGACTTTAGAAAGATTTTCCCCAGACAGCTACATGCCACAGATCAGAGTGCTTTGTAGAGGATCACTGTTGTTCAGAAGGGTGAATTATGGGCCGGGGATTTAGGTCAGTGGTTTCGCCGCCTGCTGTGCAAGCTCAAGGACCCGAGTTCGATCCCTGGTACCAAAAAAAAAAAAAAAAAAAACCTAGAAGGGTGAATTATTTGAGTCCATTTTAGGAGCTTGTTATTACTCTTTAAAGGTCACCAGGTATGCATCTGTACTCATCCCTGGACTTTGTATTCACTCCACTGTCTCTCACTGTGTGGCATTTGACAAGTGTTATTCCCCACTGAAAAATCTCTGGCTTTGGTTGAATCTTCCAGAATCATGGGAAAGACCAGTGTCTCATTGCAGTGAGTGTGAAGCGACAGACCCCAAAAGCAAGGTTGTAGTAAGCGAAGGGTGAGGATGGCTGCTGTGTGAACAGGTTCTCTTGTCAGCTGATGGGTGGGACAGGTGGGCAAGATACCCAGTAATGATTTTCTCGCTGATTTGTTTATGGAAGAGATACTATTACTATGTAACCAACGGAATCCGAAAAGACATGATTGCCCCTGGGGAGGACGGAGTGATGGTTCGGATTTCAAAGCTGATTTCTACCAAGCTGCTGACAAGTCCCTCCTTGGAACCCCTGCTGGTTGCCCTTGTGGATGAAATGGAAAATGACTATTACAGTGGCCTCATGAAAAGCATTGGTAAGGCTGGGCATAAATAGGGGGCTCCTACATGAAGGCACCGTCTTTCATTGTTTCCATTGAATACACCCCAATGATTTAACCTGTAATTCAAAAGCTCTCTCACCCCAGCCACCATCACTAATGTCTATACTAGCTCTTCCCACGTTAGTGTACACCCACATTACCCAAGGATCTTGTTAAAACGCAGATTCTGATTCAGTAGATTTGCCTTGGGGCACAGATCATTATTCTGCATTTCTAACAAGTTCACAGGTAACACAGATGAAGCAACACTATGGGTAGCAAGAGCCTATTTAAACTTTAAAATCCAGTCCAAGACCTGTATCTTCTCTAAAGCATTTTTTTCTCTTCAGCCCTCATGGTGCCTCCCTCCTCTGCATTTATAACACTTCTTGTTTCTACTTTCAACTCCTTTGCAAATTCTCCCATGCCTTTATTTCCCTATTGTTTTTGACACCGGCATTGTTGTTTCATCTCCTGCGGGTCTTGACTCCTTATTAGACCACTAGCACTTGGATGGGATGGTTGTATTATTGATTCCCCTTCTACTTCATCCTTAGCCATGTCTTGTGCACACGGTAAGTTGTTGGGAAACATTTGATGATGAATGAGTAATGTGAGAAGCATTAAAGCGGAGGTGTGGTCCTCGTAGTTATATACCTTGCTATCTCATCTACCAAGTTGTTTAGTCTTTCTTTAAACTTTCCTAACTAACTTTATAATGATGTCAGTGTAATGGCTTCTTGTCTACCCTCACACAGAAACCAGCTTCCATGAGTGAACATGTCAGGGCCTTTACTTCCAGCTCCAACTTGTTTCTCCAGTTTTATCACCTCTAACTTCACCATTTGCACCTGATGCTTCTGCCACAGCATAGCTCACAGATCCTTAAGTAACAGTGGTAGCACTTCACCTCCTTACATGCTATTCCCTCTGTCCCAAATGCTTGTCTTTTCTCTTCCTGTCTAACAAACTCCCATTCATTTATGACCCAGCACAAAAGTGACTTCTTTTATGAAACTTTTCTCAATCTTTCGTTCCTTAGCATGTAAAAATTTGATTTCTAAATTTCCATTTGTAAATATCTGGTGATAGCCATTATATTGATTTTTGGGTAACTATCTTAATGTGAGCAATTATGACTAAGGAGCTATGAGCAAATACAGGTGCATGGTCATTCAGAATGCTAAATATCTTATCAGGACTGAACCTGATTCTGAGTGCTCCACCCTGCGAACTTCCATTCCTTCTCCCCATGAAATATTTTCAGAAGGAAACATACCAACAGAATAGAACTTCAATGACCTTGCAAATGAGGTAGCATTTCCCAGTGTGAACGGACAGAGGCTCAGTTGCCTTATGAATTTGATGATAAGAGCACAAGAAGTTAAGCCAGATGCCTGTAATCCTAGAACTCTAGGAAGCTGAGGCAGGAGGATCAAGTTCAAGCCCAGCCTGGGCAATTTAGTGACTTAGTGAGACCTTGTCTCAAAATTTTAAAAATGGAAAAGGGGGGGGGGCTGGGGATGTAGCTCAGCATGAAGGCTCTGGTTTTAATCCCCAGCATTGAAAAAAAAAGTACAGGATGTTGAAGGTCACTACCTAATAATGGAGTATTTGCTCTCTTCCTTCTAGTTGATTACATCCTCATGGATCCAATGGAGAGGAAGAGGCTCTTCATCAAGAACATCCCCCGCCTTTTTCCTCACAGAGTGATCCGGGCCCCTGTGCCCTGGCATAGTGCCTACAGGGGTGCTCACAAGTGGAATGAGGAGCATCTGCACACGGTGAACCCCATGATGCTCATCCTGAAAGACCTGTGGTTTACAGAGTAAGAAGGGCCTCCCCTCCCTGTTGTCTCCTTTCTTTGTTGCTTCCATGAATAAGCAAGCTTCCTAGGCAGGGCACAGCTGGAGTAGCCCTGAACCTGCAGCAAAATGAGATGAACAAAAATCTTAGATCAAAATTGCAAATCAACTATGATTGAGAACCCCCCACACAAGCTTAAGTGGGCCTTCTTTGTACTTGAAGGGCCCCCAGCACCTGTCTGTAAGCACTGTAGCATGCTGGTTTAGAGCACATCCTGGAGCCAGTCACTGCAGGTCCAAATCCTGGCTCTGCTGCTTCTTAGGTGATATGGGTATGCTATGACACTTCTCCATGTCTCCCTTATCCCTGAAATTGGGGTAATAAGAGTTCCCACTTCATGAGGTTGATAGGAGGAATAAATAACTTATTATACACAAAGTACTTAGAACTGTTTATGATACAACTTAAGTACCCAGGAAGTGTTAGTTCACCATCACTTACCTCCACTATGACATGTCTGACCCTAAATTATAATTGTGTATATACCTGTCTGTTTCTCTCTACCTATGAAATGTGTAAGAGGTTGGGTCTTAGTCCTTTATGAAATCAGTACCAGCACAGGGCTTGTAAGCAGTCATCTCTCAATTATATTTGTCAATGACTTAATTGGCGACAAAAATTGTAGGAGTCCAAAGCAGGTAGAGATGTCACTTTTTTTTTTTTTCAGTTTTTAAAAACTGAGATACACAGTTGACTCATTATACACATAGGATCAGTTGTAGGACTGCCAAAAGTTACCAAAATTCATGGGTGTTCAATCCCTTGTGTGAAATGGCGCAGTATTTGCATATAATCTCCATATCCTCCCATATACTTTAAATCACCCCTAGATTCCTTGTAATATCTAGTGCAATGTAAATGCCTTGTAAATAGTTGTTATACTGTTTAGAAAATAATGACAAGAGAAAAGCGTCCACATACAGGAGCAATTTGTTTTTCAAATATTTTTCATTCATGGCTGGTTGAATCAGTTCATGTGGATCCCACAGATCTGGAGGCCAGCTGTAATTCACATTCCATAAAATCCACCCTTTTAAAGTGCACAATGGTGTACTTTTTTGTATACTGACAAATTTTTGTAACCTTTATACTGCTGGCTAGAATATTTTCATCATTCCATAAAGAAACCCTGTACCCATTAGCAGTCACTCTCCATCCTTCCTTCCTGTTAGCCCCTGACAACCACTCATATGCTTTCTGTCCCTGAGGATTGGTCTCTTCTGGACATTCCATATAAATGAAATCACATAAAAGACGACCTTTTGTGTCTAGTTTATTTCTTTAAACAATGCTTTCAATGTTTATCTACATTGAAGCATTTATCAGTACTACATTCCTTTTCATGGCTGAATAATAGCCTATTGTGTGGCTATACCAAATTTTATTTATGCATTCATTAGTTGTTCTGGAAGAAGAGAATACTGGGGTTTGTGTTTGTCTGTTTGTTTATAGGCCCTTCAAGAAAGTGAGTTTACTGAAAGGTCAGGCTAGTGAACTGGTTAACTGCCACTATCTGAGTTCTTATTCAAAAAGTTAGAGGTAGATATTTGTGCTTGATTTTGGTTGGCTGAACTTATCAGTGGCTCATATATTTTGTTTTAGGAGGATCTCTGACTTTGAACATGTTTAATCTTAAGGGAGCCTTGTTGTTTGGAGAACTCATTTGTTTTTCTAATATTTTTCTCACAAATTTACTTATATTTAAAAAAAAAATTAAGGGTAAAATCAGCCAGAGCCCATCATGATAAAAAAAAAAAACACCACATTTTCTTCTTTGAATTAGATTCAACTTTTTAAGGCATTGGAGATACACCCTGAATACTGGATGGTGGGGGGTAATTTCCTAAGTAGACAGAAGTGTGTAAAGAGTAGTAATTTATAGAATTGGCTCTGAAGTGGGCTGCAGATTTAACTCAGTGGTTCCACCGCCTGCCTTGAAAGTGAGAGGTCCTGAGTTCAATCCCCAGTACCAAAAAAAAAAAAAAAAAAGGAATTGGTTCTGAAGCTATACTGCCTGAGTTGTTGTTCTTCCTTGATCACTAATTAACTATGTGATTTCTTGGAAAATTAATCCCTCTGTGACTCTGTTTTTTATATGTAAATGAATAACACTACCTGCTTGGGTTGGGTAAAAGTGTTTAAAGAAGTGGTTGGCATACTGTGGCCATTCAGTAAAGGTACTGATTTAAATACAAACATGCCTATGGCCACAAAAAAATTAAGCTAGGAATTAATGAGGAAGTCATTCTTAGAGATGGTAAAATTGCCAGAAGCTCAGTGCTGAAAAAATAACCAGGAATGAGGTGCACATGGGTTTAATTTGATCACGTAGCCAAGGTGGTGAATCAATGAACTTGTTGCTTCTACTGAGAAGAAAAACTTCTTGGCATTAGCTTTTCATAGTTCACCAAAGAAGGTTATGCAGAGACCCCACAAAATGAACTAAAATCAGTTTGAAGATTTTTATCAGTTCAGCCCCCAAACTCAGCAATGAGAAAGATTTGTTAAGAAAATGACAGAGGGCAGTTTTCTAATGTGGTCTGCACTATGTAACTTAAATTCTAAGAGAAGAAAAAGCTGAGAGGTCTTAGAGATCAGTGAAGGTTGGGGGTTGACAGCTAGAATGAGGGTAGCAGTCTGAGGGAAAAGAAAATCCTGGTCTGGCCAATGTGCTATTTTTGTAAGGATTCATTTAAAGATGAGTGAAATGGTCAGGTGGTGATGAGAGCCACACTCTGGCTATTAAATGTGTGTGGCAAGGCGGGTTGTCAGGGCTCTGGCCTCTTCTGGCAGTACTGTGTACCTGGTCACCATGGAGACTAGGTTCATCACCTCCACAGAGGGCTTGAATGTAGGCTTAAGGATTTTTGGAAGACAAAAGTGTCTGACAGGTCATTAAAGTGGAGACAGGCAAGAATTAAGATGAGCTAAGAAATTGGGCAAGGATCTAGTTTGCGAAGTGATAGTGATTCTGGCCCCTTAGCCAGAGCACCATATGCACAGCCATATACCATGGATAGCCTTTGCCATGAAGGTGACATTGGAGCTAAGATTTGAAGGTAAGGAAGTTGGCCCTGAAGATATTTAAGGGAGAATTGCAGAAAGCAGGCAATCTGTGCAGAGAACCCAAGCAATAGCATGCTGAGATATCCAGGAAGAACATGAACTGAGTGTGCATGGCAGAAAGGTCTGGTGGAAGAAAGCTGCTCAGGTAGAAGAGAGCAAAGAGGGGAGCTGGGGAGAAAATCACACCCTTCCGGGTCAGGTCCCTGGCCCCAGTGACCGGCCTCTATCCAGGCCCCACCTCCGAATTGTATACTCACTCAGCTGCTAAACTCATTAGTGTCCCTGAGATCCGATCATGTTCCCAAAGCCCCACCTCTGAGCACGGGAGAGTTCGGGGGACAGGCTAGACCCAAACCATAGTATCTTCTCAGATATAATGCATCTTACTCTGCTTTGGTTTCATTTCACTGAGAAATGAGAACTTGTGCGCTTTGAACCTGTCCTGCAGAATTTGTTATTAGTCATTCCACTTAGGGAGTTTTTCGCTCTCCTTTGCAGATTTAGAGACCTCAGGTTTGTTCGAACAGCGGAATTGCTGGCAGGAAAACTTCCTCTGCAGCCTGATGAGTACTGGGATGTGATCTGCAAGCACTGTGCAGAGGCACGCCAAATTCTCCTCAGCAAGTCAGTACCTGGCCTCAGGATGGGGCTGCGTCACAGCATTGCAAAGACCAAAAACTCTCTGAAGTGAAAACTGCTGTCTCATCTGGGAGTTACACAGTTTGCTGACTTCTCACTGACATCCTTCTCTCTCATCTTCCTATCCATGAGCAGCCTCATGATGAGCTTCCCTATGCCTTTTACTCCCCGGCTCTGACTGCCTTTCATAAACCTCTCATTATTTATAGTCTTTGTGAGGATACCATTCTCATCTCCTCCCTCTGAATCTTTTGAACCTCGATGGGTTACAGGAAAGTGTATTTGAATGACTGATATTCAGATGGCCTATATATTCAGCCGCTTGGTTACAAGATTAGTTTTTCAGACACTTAGACAGTTTCTTTTCCTTTCGCAGATGCATGTGAGACCATATCTTAATTTGGAGAAATGACTTTAGCTAAAGTGACAACGCTAATACCTACTGATGGGTTTTTATTATCAGAGGAAAGGTACCTATATAACAGTTGGCACATAGGAGGTGCTCAATAAATATCTTAATCATTACCTTTAGAGCTATTACTATTACTACTTTTTGATTGCTAGAGTAGTGCTATTTTAGCAATCAGAAAAGAGACATAATAGGATGAAATGGCCAGTGGTTCCCATTGGGAATTAGAAATTAGGGAAAGAGAGAGGAAAGACACAATGAGGCACTCCTTCTTTTGGTTGTCTAGTTTCTGTGTACAACTTCTCAGCAGCCATTGCCACGTTGAACTTTATTTTCTCAAGTTGACTTCCTTTTCTCCTCTTTCTCTCTTTCCATCTATAAAGTCTAAATCAGGTATCTACTAGAGAGAGAAGTTGGACAGAACATTCCAGTTCCTTAAACCCCTTCACCCCAATCTCTGATTATGATGCAGATACTGTAGACTGTTGCAGCAGGATGTGCCACCACACCCCCTGCCCGTTATGTATGGTCAAGAGAAGAACAGTCTCTCAACTAAAATACTGTTTTCTTCCAGGAAAGGGGTCTTGACAGGTGAACTGACCAAGAATATGAAATGAATAATTTCCAAGACTTCTTAGTAGGAAGTGAACTATCTCCCTCATCACAGAGAGCAAAGGGATGGCTGGGAGGGCTCCTTCAAGCTCAGAAAGCTTCCTACATGGATGCCCTCCTGTCTTCACAGGTGGATCCCCGCTTGTACCGAGCTTTTTGTCTCATGGAAGGAACACTGGGTCCACTTTTCTCCCAAGAGCGACTATGACTCATCTCGAAACATTGAGGAATATTTTGCTTCCGTTGCTTCCTTCATGTCACTCCAGCTCAGAGAATTGGTCATCAAGTCCCTTGAAGATCTTGTTTCCTTGTTCATGATACATAAGGTATGTAGGGGATCAGCACATGGCTCTCTTGGAGGAAACGACCCAGTTTGAACTAGGATTCCAGGATTGATATCATGAGCTGTGATCTAGGCCAAAAGGAAAATTCTGAATTTGAATAACATATTGGGTGATTGTTAGTTCATAAAAATTATGATTTTAGTACACAGTATGCTTTTGTGAGATATTTACCCACTATTGGTAAAAATCTATAAAAGAGAGGTTATAAAGAAAATTGAAGGAAAGATTACATCAGGTAGGATACATACCTCTTACAGTGTGTGTGTGTGTGTGTGTGTGTGTGTGTGTGTGTGTGTGTGTGTTGTTCTTTTTTTTTTCTCTAGGTACAAGAAAAGAGTTGAAAAAAACCTGTCATGATCCTTTGGCTTAATATTTAAGAACTGTGCTATGAATTCATTGACTGCAGGGATTTTTGCTCTTTGGCCTTTGAAAGGAGAGCCTCCACAAACAAAAGGCTTTTTTGACCTAATTAATACCTTTTTTCATGGAACCACTCCAGTGAAGTCAAAATAAAACATTAAAGCATGAACTATGTATTGAGACCATGCCTCACAAAAAAATAATATGAAAGCACAAAATCCTAGTTTTCAAAGCATCATAGGGCCAGAGATTTAGCTCAGTGGCATTGTGCCTGCCTTGCAAGCACAAGGTCCTAAGTTTGATCCCCGGTACCACAAAAAAAAAAAACCAAGCAAAAAAACACCATAGCACCTTGATTTAAATAGCTGAGGGATTAAGGAAAATTCTTGTAAATTTTATTCCATGTGTATATTTCATCTTAAAAGGAGCATTACAAATTTTTTTTACTTTGTATTTTGAAAATAAATTTTATCCCATTCCCCCCTCAAGCAATACAAATTAAAATTATCTGATTATAAAAGATTAAGCTCTACGCCGCCTGCCTCACAAGTGCAAGGTCCCGAGTTCGATCCCTGGTACCAAAAAAACCCAAAAAACAAAAAACAAAGATTAAGCTCTAAGCCTTTTTCCAAATAAAGTACAAGTGAATAATTGACTCTTTGCTTAGAAAAGACAGAAATCAATGTTGCTGACTTTTGACTGCATTATTTACACTAAAGAGAACCACTCTATAGTTATTGTGGTAAGCATCTTTGCTCAGCAGAAGAAACCCAGTTGTGCAAAGAAATCTCACTCCAAAATGTCACACAAAGAGAGAAGTAAAATATTTATATGTCTGAGGGAAAGAGGAATTTATGAGTGTTTGATACACAGTAGATGTTCAATAAATGTTTATCAGTCTTCCTTAAACAGATCTAAAAATCTCCAAAATCAGTTATTTGAACAAATCCTTTACAGCTCCCAAATGGGAATTTCCTTAGGGCATTGTAGTTTTTGAAAGGTGTCTTTTATTTCTAGCTTTTTTAGGAAATCAGAGATACCTCTACATCAGTATTTTTGTTGTAAGAAGGTTGACATTTGAGTACCTGAAAGACTCATTTCAGATGGCTTATTAACAATGCTATTTGAGGAATACAGCAGATTTTTATTAAACTCCTCATGTGCTAAATGCTGGGGTCAAACATAAATTTTGTCCTCAAGATTTAGAATAGAGAAGGTAAGATGTATATGTGAGTCCCTTCAAAAGACAAAGATAAAATACCATGCAGGGAGTGAAAGTGGAGGAGATATTATGCAGGTAGGGAACTGGGAGGCTTCCTAGAGGAGTGGAACTTTGAGCTGAATTTTGAAGGATAGAAAGGATTTAGAAATTAAGTGCAGGAAGTACTAAGCAAAATAAATGATACCGGATAAAGGCTTTGGGAAAGGGGGACAGCATGCGCTCATGGCGGGTAGACTGTCCTAGCTCATATTTGAACAGTACACAGCCAATATTCATTTCCTTTTTTGGTGATAAGGTAGCACTATGAATGCCTAACATTCATTGCCTTGACTTTGAAAGGCCCAGTTTTATGATATTTGTCCTACCTTATGTCTTTTGAAGGATGGAAATGATTTTGAGGAGCCATACCAAGAGATGAAGTTCTTTATACCTCAGCTGATCATGATCAAACTTGAAGTCAGTGAGCCCACAATTGTCTTCAATCCATCTTTTGATGACTGCTGGGAATTAATAACCAACTCTTTCTTGGAAATTATTAAAAAGTCTGATGGGATCCCCAAGGTACAGTATTCACTTAATCATTCATTTGTATTTTTTTTTCATTTCATGCAATATGTTAAAATGGTTATACAACAATGACCTGGAGAGGCTGTACGGTGTACCCTCAAGTTATGACTGCCCTGACATACGAACAACATAGGTTAATTAGGTTAGTGGAAGATTCACCTGCCTCTTGTTATCTATAGTATATACTCAGATAAACATCCAGATCTCAGCTGTATTGACTTACAACCAACTTTAGTTACAACCAGCCCTCCAAAACCAATCAAGTTTGTAAGTCAAGGGTCCTCTGTATTTTGTGGTCAGCCTTTATTCCATCAGTTTTGTTTGTTTGTTTGTTTTTGTTTTTTTGAGACAAGTTCTCACTATGTAATGTAGGCTGACCTTGAACTCACTATTTAGCCCAGGCTGGTCTCGAACTCATGGTGATCCTCCTGCCTCAGCCTCCCAGGTGCTGGAATTACAGGCCTGTGTAACCATGGCCAGCATATTCCATCGGTTTTAATCTTTCTTTTTTTCTTTTCTTTTTCTTTTTCCCTTTCTTTCCTTCTTTCTTTCTTTTCATGGTATGTGGTACCCTGGTTCATGAACTTTATTCCTTCCATGATTCTGGTCACCAACTGAATTGATTGTGAACCAAATCAAATTTCCCCATAAGTTCAACCTTGAATTTAACCATTGAATTTGATTCAGTTCACAAGCAATTCAGTTTGTGACCAGAAACACAGAAAGAATTAAGTTTGTGAACCAAAATACCGCTGTACTGGGGATTGAGCCCATGGCCTTCTCACTGAGCTGTAGCCCCACCCTTTTAAATTTTTTTATTTTGAGATAGAGTGTCACTTAATTGCTAAGTTGCCCAGGCCAGGCTTGAACTTGAAATCCTTCTGCCTCAGCCTCCCAGAGTCCTGGGATCACAGATGTGCATCACAATGCCTGGCTTTTCCCCATACTTTTAAAGCTTAAATCTTTAGCCATATATAAGGCAAGACTAATAGGGAATGGGGGAACTGTCTGTCTGCCTCTGTTCTTAGATATTTTCTTAAATATCCAACCTGCGGGATGATTCTTTAATTTTTCACTACCCATTCAGAGATCAAACAGCCTGAGAGGTTTGGGGAGGGAGCCAGTGCTATGTGTATTACAAGAAATAATTCTAAGAATTAACAAATGGAATCATATCAGATGAAAATAGTTCCTCACAACAAAGGAAACAACGAAGTGAAGAGACAACCTACAGGAATAGGGAAAAATTTGCCAGCTAGTCCTCTCACAGAGGACTAATATCTAGAATATATAAAGAACTAAAAAAAATTAGACCTTCTCCTCCCAAAATGAAATACACCATCAAAAACAGGTAACTGAAATAAACAGACATTTCTCATAAGAAGTATAAATGGTCAATAAATACATGAAAATAATAAATACATGAATCAATAAATTCATGAAATGTTCAACATCCTGGCCATTAAAGAAATGCAAATTAAAATAATACTGAGATTCTGTATTTTAATCCAGAAAGAATGGCTATTATCAAATTAAATAATAAATGCTGGCGAGGGTACAAGGAAAAAGGAACCCTTTTACCTTGTTGGTGGGATTGTAATCTAGTACAACCACTATGGAAATCAATATGGAGACTCTTCAGCAAACTAAAACTACAAATTCCATTCAACCCAGCGATTCCCCCTCTAGGTATCATCCTGAAAGAGTTAAAGGCATCATACTACAATGATAACATGCATACCCGTTTTTATAGCAGCACAATGTATAATAGCTAAATCTTGGAAGCAGCCTATATGTCCATCAAGAGATGAAAATGGATAAAGAAAATGTGGTATGTATTCAGAATGGAGTACTACCCTGCTATAAAGGATAAACTCGAGTCATTTGTAGGAAAATGGAGCCCATAATGTTAAGTGAAATAAATCCGACACACAAGCTTAAATATCACGTGGTTTCTTTTATGTGAAAAACCCAAAATTTAAATAAAGAGCAAAATAAAAGATAGATAATAGGAAGCAGGGAGACAGCTCTCTTGCAAATGGGAACAGGACCAAGAGATGGAGGGAGAAGGGGAGGGGAGGGAGGGGAGTAGAAGGAGATGAAAAAAGAGCTGAAATGTGTTGTGTACACAAACCAACTCCCCATGAGGAATATAATCATTATGTATTGCAAACATGTACTAATAAAAAATAAATAAATAGTCTTTCCAGGACCTGGAATAGAGACACCTGGAAAAAACAACTTAGTGAAATGAAAAAGAAGTAGGGCTCCAGGAATCAAGAAAAAGCTGATAGAACTAGAAACTAAAGAGAAATTAGAGAAACTGAAGACGACAACACACACACACACACACACACACAAAAGAACTAAGGAGTCTGGAATGCCAATCGTGACTCCAGAAAAGGAGATCTTGTCTCTGCAAACACAAGGTGAGCCCAGAGAAGGTCAGCAGTCCTTGGGAGAAACAACAGACTGGCAGTGCTAGCCCCAAGAAAAGCCCACAGCTATTGTAAGCTGCAAATACAGTATGGGGTTTTACTCTGAAATGACTCCTTCTGCGTGGCAGCCTAGAGTTGAAGAAGAAATTCACTTCAGTGTCTGAATTGACAGTGAAATAATCAGAAACCATTTTGGAAAGGATTTATTGTTCTTTAATCAGATTTTTAATCTCACTTTTATTTCTTCCTTCTTGTCTTCCTTTTTTCTTTTTCAAATTTTACTTCCTTCATTTTCTCCTTCCCTTACCCCTCCATCTTTATTTTTATTACTATTAAGCTTTATTAATTTTTAGCTATTTAGTTGACTATGATACTATTGCTAAATTCTTTTCTATTGTTAATAGTGGTATAGTTGTTGCTTTTAGTAGGTATTTACTATATGTCAATATTTATTTGTCTTTGTGTCTACATTATTGCAGATCTCTTTTCTATTGTTAAGGATGGTATAGTTGTAGCTATTAATCATTCTTATGGTATGTCAGTAACTGATTTGTCTTTGCCTCTATAATTACTGTCAAGCCGGGGATTTAGCTCAGTGGCACTGGCTGCATCTGCCTCATAAGCACAAGGTCCTGAGTTCAATCCCCAGTACCAAGGGAAAAAAAAGAATTCATACTATTATTGCCAATTTCTCTTCTATTATTAATGGTGTCATAATCATTGCTTTTAATTAGTTTCCACTGTATGTCATATCTCCTTTTTCTTTGTATCTTCAACATTACTGTGGTTCATTTTCTCCTCTCTGAGTGGTACTGGGGATCAAGTCCCCAGAGAAAGCTTGGACAGTAAGAAGACCCCCAAATGTTATGCTGAATAGGTTGAAAGGGATTATAAACACCAAAACATAACCAAGCCCAAGAACATATCACAAGGAAGCATAATCTAAAGAGATTCCCACAGTAGGGACAGTTTCTCCACCCTAACTGATCTTCAGCCCACAACACAAAAACAATAGAAACATGAGAAAGCAAAGCAACAGAATACTTCTAAAATTCCTAACTTCCCCAAGGCTGATCTCATGAACACTCATGAAGAAGGGGAAGATACAGGCAAAGAACTCAAAAATAAAATGATCAAAATATTTGAATAGATAAAAGAAGAGATATATAAATAAATGTATATAATGTTTATGAGCTCAAAGAAAATTTAATTAAACAGATAAAAGATTTTACCAACAAAATGTTTGATGAGCTTCACTTGATCTTAGCCAAAAGGCCGAGAAGCGATGTGTTTGATGAGCTTAAAGAAGAAATGAACCATAAACTAATTGAATTAAGCAAGACACTACAGGATATGAATGACCATTTCAGAAAAATTCAGTAGACTTAACCAGTGTTAAGTTATTTCTAACGAAGTGTCAGAAATAGAAGACAAGGTGGATGGAGTAGATAAAAACTCAGTGATACCCTAAAAATGACAAGATACCATGCAAGCTAGATCCAACAGCTGCTAGATGACTCAAAAAATTTTAAAACCTCAGAATTATAGGAATAAATAAAAAATTAGAAGATGACTCAAAAGTCATAAAAAATGTATTCACTGAAATAATAGCAGAAAAATTTCCAAATCCAGGAAAAGAATTCAGTATTTAAGTACCAGAAACATATGGACTGAAAATAGCCATGACCAAAACAGAACCTCTCCATAACACATCATAATCAAAATTCCAGAAATTTAACAAAAGGAGAAAATGCTAAAAACTGAAGTAACCACTGAAAAACAACAAGTAATCTATAAAGACAAGCCTATCAGAATAATTGCAGATTTCTCAGCACAAACCTGAGAAAGGCCAAGAGAATTTGGAGTGAAGTTTGTCATGCTCTAAAAGAAAACAGTTGTCAACTCAGACTTTTATATCCTGAAAAATTAGCCTTGAAAATAGACAAGTAAAGACTTTACAAGACAAAAAAATCTAAAATACATAACCACTAAACTGCATTGCAAAAAGTACATAAAGGAATCCTAAACAGAGACAGGGAGGCCACCAGCAACAAAGAGCTCAAAGGAAAGTATATATCTAACTAGGAGAAAGAAGAAAAGGAAAAAGAGGGTCAACAGTGGAAAAACAATCCAATGACAGGATTCAATAAACACCTTACAATCAAAACTCTTAATGTCAATGGTCTCAACTCCCTAGTCAAAAGACACAGCTTGATAGATTGGATAGTAAACCAAAATGCAATTCTAGATTGCCTATAGGCTACTTATCTCATCCTCTCAAAAGGAAGTTTATAAACTGAAAATGAAAGAATGGAAAAGATACTCCATTTAACCAAAGCCTGAAAACAAGCAGGAGTAGCTATCTTATTATTAGACATACCAGATGTCAAGCCAGAATTGATCAGAAGAGACAAAGATGCCTAGTACACACTAGTAAAGGGAACATTTCAAAAGGAAAAAATAACATGGGTAAATATCTATGAATTGAATGTTGGCACATCCAACTTCATAAAACAAAAACTACTGGACTTAAAAAGGACAGAAACCAATACAGTCATTATGGGGGACTTTAATACCCCACTCTCACAATTAGTTCAGCCAGACCAAAAAAAATCAACAAAGAAACATCAGTCAAACCCTATCATTGAACAAATGGACTTAACAGATATCTACTGAGTGTTTTGTCTAACAACACAATACAGATTTTCCCGAACAGCATGTGGAACTTTTTTCAAAATGAACCGTATCTTAGGCCAGAAAATATGCTTAAATAAATACAAAAGAATTGAAATAATCCCCTGTATAATATAAGATCATAGTGGAACGATGCTAGAAATCAGCAGCCAAAGAAACCATGCAAACACATGGAGATTAAATAATATATTATTGAATAATCAATGGATCAGGGAAAAAATTTAAAATTTATAGAATCAAATTACAGTGGAAGCATAACACACCAAAATCTGTGGGACACATTGAAAGCAGTTCTATGAGGGAAGATTATAGCTGTAATTGTACACATAAAAAGAATAACAAGATCCCAAATAAATAGTTTAATGACATATCTCAAGTGTATCTCAAATCTGAAATCAGTAAAAGGAAAGAAATTATAAAGATCAGAGTGGAAATTAATGAAATTGAGACTAAAAAGCAATACAAAGGATTAATGAATCAGAGTCGGTTCTTTGAAAGGATCAGAAGGGCATCTGTGGATGGAGGTAATGAGAGAGAGGAGGGAATCAAAAAGGATCAAGATTCAATATATAACTTTCTTTAATAGGTGCTATTCAAATTTTATATTTCCTCCAGAGTTAGTTTCATTAATTTGCCTTCTAAGTTACTTCTTAGAAGTTGTCAAATTTATTTCAAAAAAGATTTTTGTAATATGCTTTCTATATCCTTTTAAATTCTGTAAAATCTGTGGTAAT